AATATATTATATATATATATATATATATATATATATATATATAAAATAGATTGAAAATCATAGTAACGTAAAATGATGTATCTATATGGCTTTTGCAGTTCTTTATTTTTATAGTTCTAAAAAAATTCAAATTATATAAATTTATTTTTTAACAGATAATTATATTTCTAGAATAAAAATATCGATCTTTAACATTATGATTTTCAATCCATCATATTTATTGCGTGTGATGAGAAGCTCAAATGAAATATACGCAATGATAAAAAAAATAGATGAAGAAGAAATTGTATATACGTATTCTAAAACCTTAACCTGCCATAGTTTATGCCCATTAAATAAATTATCGTGCAAAATGATATGTGATACAACAAACAAATAAATTACTACGTTGAAGCAGCGAAAGAAAAAAGAGAATGTTACATGCTTAATTTATCACCCTGTTCCCATTATTAATTATGGTACAAGATATTATAATATAAGGCAATTTATGTATATCATTCCCTCATATACATACTATGCACACATCCTTGTTATTCTTCAAAATCTTTTATGTTAGCAAAAAATTGAACAATTTTCTATATTTCACCCTTCCTATCTTTAGAATCCGATTAGCAATTGACTAGAAATTTCATCAAAGTTTACCTATCTTTAAATTTAAGAATAAACGACGATTCTGCATTTATTTTTATAGATATAAATAAATATTATGTATACAATAAACATATTTGGTAAAATATCTCCTCTTAATTTTAGTTTTCTTTTGTATCTTCCGATTTTTAGTTTCGTGACGCTACATTTGTTTGCTATATATATAATTAATTATATGTATAATAAATATTTCTTAAATACTTCTGTACTATAATTCTATTTCTTTGGTGTATTCGATATTTTCCGATTTTCCATTTTCATGTATATTTTATGAAACTGTGGCGCGAAATATTTAAAATTCAAAATCGATATCTGTTTCTACACAAATATAAACGAAATATTATACATGTAATAACCATTCCTTTCAAATTTAATTTCATTTCGTTTTTTTGATATTCCATATTCTTTTTATATTTTCTGTATTAATCATCGCGTATGCTTCACGAGATTGTTGCGCGAAGACCAGCAGAGTTTGCGAAAGCTCCCGAGCATTGGAAAACGTTGGATACCTGCTGCCTTTGCTGCAGACGCGACATCACCTCCAACAGCGCATTCTTCAGGACTTTTGCCAATGTGCTGATCTCTGGCAAAGATTCAAGCTCCGATACCCGCTGCGCGTGACTGCTCAACTCATCCTGTAAAGCCTGTGTCCACGCAGGGACACACACAGACAGACACGTTTACATACGTGATTTCACACAATTCGTGGTTTCGTTTAAAAATAAACCGTGCATGCCGCCATTCTAAAACGGTGGATTACGCCAACAAGTTCGTATTACAAAAATCGGTCATGCAAAAGAAAAATCATGACCGAAAATTTTTATTTAAAATTTTGAAAATGAAGAGAATAGATCTCTCTTAACCAGACATTCGTTAAAATTTATATCTCTTTTTAGTAAAAATAAAAATTTGAATTTCTCTATATAAATACAATTTCATATATATTATATTGCAAGCGTACCTTGTTCGTAGCGATCGGTGGTTCTTGTTTCATACTAGCCACGATATCCTTCAACCAACTATCTGTTTCATCCAAGAATTTTTTGTACGCATGAATGTCGTGGCCGCGTTGTTCTTGTTGTCCACGTGCACCCTCAAGGGTGGCACGCCCTTGTTCCGCTTGCGTCAACAAGGTTGTAATTTTAGTCTGAATTTCTTCTAGATTGGACAGAAGCTTTTGAGCCTCTAAATCGGCTGGTATTTTATGCAATTCCTCTTCCAAATGATGCGTCTCTTGATCATAATTTTGAAGTTCCGTTATCAAATTCTGGAAATTATTTTAACAATTCTATTCAATGAATTTTTAAATAAATCTTTAAAATAGTTTTGATAAAAGTAAAATATTTAAATATCGTTTATAGCGTATAATCTTACCGTGAGTGCAGAGAGCATAGTATCTATGTTATCTCGTGGTAAATAAGTTCCTTTTAAGTTCGAAAGACTCAATTGTAAAACCATTAGACGTTCCTGTATGATATCCTGTAATATAGGAACGAATTAATAAATGGCAAAATATTTTTCTCTTCGTAATGGGAAAGAGAATATGAATCGTGCAATTCAGAGTTTTAATATCAATCTGTTAATTAATGAATTAATGGAATTCATGTAAAATGGGGATAGCCAAAAAACACATAAATATATCAAGATGCTGTAGTTTCTTTTCTATTTTTTTTAATTAAATAAATTCGAGCATTTATAAAATATATTTATCCATGCAAATTTGGAATTATAAAAAATCAAACTTGGAAATGTACAAGGTTTATGATACTAGTGAATTTGAGATTTTATAGTTCAAAATGAAACACAATAATAGAGTAACTTTTTATAGTTTTTTTTTTAAATATCCTTGAATGTAATATAATATAATACAATAAAAAGAAACAATATTATTTTAAATCCTTTTGAGTCATAAAATCTCGAGCATTCCATTTATACCACGAGTTATGACTCTCACCCTGTGCAACTTTATAGAATACAAAAAATGTATTTTAGTACTACATAGCATCGATCTTTTAAAGTGAAAGAATATTAAAATGTTCCCTCTTATGTGTCAATTATAAGAGAGAAAACTGTAAAAATATATATATATATATATTTAAAAGATATAACATGTTAGAATAAAATCTTAAAAAAGAAATTGTCTATCGAATACATAACGTAGTGTTGTTGCAAACTGCTTCCTTGAATGAAGAATAAAATTTGTTCGATACCAAAAAGGATCATTCTCTTTTTCTAATAATTTTTCAATTAATCATGAGATTTTTTTTTTTAAATTTTCATTGAACCGCAACGCAAGCCGAAAATCAAGTAACGTTACGCTCGTGCATTAATAAAGAAAAAAAATCGCAGCATGCAAATCAAGGAAGGAAAAATCGTAATTAGAGAGAAGCAACAGCAATGTAGCAGCTAATATTGTAATTAACTATCAACAGCGGCTATTAACGTGAAAACACATAGAATAGAAAGAAGTAGTACGTTCGATTGCATAATACAGAGGTCGAGATAAGTGAAAAATGATCGATTAGAGAGAAAAAAAAAAGAGAGAGAGAAGAAAAATGTTAAAAAATTGTTTTAAAAAGTAGAATAAAACAACAACGAACGAGGGCATAAGAAAACAGTATATAACACTGTGTACCAAGCACACGCGCGCACACTCACACACGCGATCTCGCGAGCGTGTACATATACATACACGCGAGTCCGCACAACACAACAATAACAACAATAACATCAACAACAAAGACAGTGAACTCTTTCAAGCTCGATTGGGTAAAGATCGAGCGCAGCTTGTTTCGTGATCGCACCTTGATCCCTCGTATCCTCTTTTCAGCCTCATCCTCAGCTACCCCCATCTCTCTCTCCGTGATTGGAGTGCGCCGCTGCATCGATCCTCTTTCAATACCTAAATTTTCCTTAGGATCTGGACCATGGTCAGGGATATTTGGTATTGGAAATATTTCACATGATGGATCGGAACAGGTGGATTCTAGTCGTTCAACCGCAGTAAAAAATTCGTGATCTAACTTAGAAGGTTGTTCACCGAGAGGGGACACTTCGACAGTGGACAATGATTGTAATTTGATCTCCTCAGAATTTTCCGATGTCGTAGGAACAGATTCGAGCGACAATTCATCAAATTTGGAAATAGACTGATCATCCTCGAGGTGAACGGAGGATAATTCGGAAACTACCTCGTCTGAGGGAAGAGTTAGATCTAACGTTGGATTTTCGATCTTTTCCTGGACCAGCTCCGTGGTCTGATCCGTTCTCTGCTCGTTCTCGCTCGACAAGTAAGTACTGTAATCGCTCCAGCTACCTATACCACCTGGAAGATCGGCTATCAAACGCTCGGTATGAGGTCCACCTAAGAAAAAAGAATTCATGGGACCACCATTTCCACCGCGATTATTCAAATTACCATCATTCTGATCCCCGTTAAAATCGTCCGGATCGTTAGAATCGCGTTTAATATCACTCGAAGTATTTTCTTTTGGATAATTAGCCAAGTTCTCGAATAGATAGCGTTCAGCCTCGTGATATGGATGTTTATCAGGCCAGAAACCGCTATCAAGAGAGAGAAACTTGGACCTACTGAGTTCCGACAGGGTCTTTAAGATTAGAGGAGTCTGGACAGGCTTCTTTTTCTCGGGGCTTAGAACTAGAATTTCATCGGCTATGTAAAATTGTACTTTTGGTTTTGCTGGTTCGATTACGATGTCGACCGTCTCTATTTCTGGTTCACTCGATATACATTTCTCGAATTCTTCCTCGGTTTCTAATTGGGATTCGATCGAGTCTATTATTATGGGTGACTCGATCTCATCTAATAACTTTTCGATCGGTATAAATTGTTCTGGGACTTTGTCGATTTCTTGGATTATATTTTCTTTCACAATTTCTGGATATATCTCTTCGATTTCTTCTATTTTAATTATCTCTTTTTCAATCTCGTCAATTTCTTCTTTCAATGTACCATTTATCGTTACTTCAGTTGATTTAATGGTTTCTGTTGGTTTTTCTTCAAGTGGAATGATTGTATCTTCTATAATTTCAGAAATCTTGTCTACTGTCTTTTCTTCGGTAATTAGTGATTTTATTTCATGAATTTCTTTATCATCATTCTTAGATTTATCTTCATATCCTTTGTCTTTTATTTTTTTTATTTTAGATTTTTCTTCTTTCGTAGCTTTCTTTTTTATAGGAGAAGGCGATGGTGTTTCTTCAATTTTCTGTAGATTAAATTCAATTTCTTCTTGAGTTTTAGAAAATATTTTTTCTTCTATTTGTTTCTTTTCTTTTTCAAGAACAATTTCCTCTGTCATGTTTTTAATTTCTTTTTCATCCTTTTTAATCTCATCAATTATTAATATATCATTAACTTCTAGTTTTGGTTCAGGTATCGTTACGTTTAAAGTCTTTTCTTCAATTTGAAGGATTTCTTTTGGAATATCTGGAGTTGGAGTAGAAGAACCTGTGCTTAATATTTCAATATCTTTTTCAATCTTTGATGATAATAGATCTTCATCTGCAGATTTTATTTCCATTTCTGCTTCTTCGTATGTAGTTTTCTTTGCTTGTTTATTCTTGCGTTTCGATTTTTTAGACTCTTCCTGTTTTTCTATTACTGATTTAATTATTTCTTTTTTTTCTTCAGCAATGTCTTTTGTTTTATTTATAATTTCTTCGTTTTCTTCAATTGGTTTTGGCTCTATTATTTCTTTAATAGATTGTATTTCCTCTTTGGATATTGATATAGATAAAGATTCTGGAACAAGTTTCATTTTATCAGAAATTACATTTTCTTTTGGTTTTAACAGCTCTGTTTTTTCTTTAATAGAATGTATTTCTTCAGATACTGGTATAGAGATAGCTTCTGGAAGAAGTTTGATTTTATCAGAAATTATTTCTTTTTCTTCAGCTGGTTTTGGCAATTCTGCTATCTCTTTAATAAGTTTTGTTTCCTCTTTGGCTATTGATATAGACGTAGTTTCTGGAAACTTTATTTCATCAGAAATTATTTCTTGTTCTTCAGTTGACTTTGACAGTTCTATTTTCTCTTTAATTACTTTTATTTCTTCTTTGGATATTGGTATAGGCATAGTTTCTGGTACAAGCTTTATTTCATCAGGAATTACTTCAGAAAGAATTAATTTTTCAATTTCTTTAGATATTTCATTAGTTTCTTTTTTCTCTTTGTTTTCATTAGTTAAAATAATTTCTGTAGATATTTCTTCTGCCTTTAATTCATCTGATGTTTTGGATATCATATTTATTTCTTCTTTCTGTTCTTGTGAAATCATTTCTGATTTTTCGTTTTTCAATTTTTCTTGGCTAGTTGCTCTCGTAGCTGATTTTTCTTTTTTCTTTTGTTTCCGTTTTTCTTTTTTCGAAACTTTAGATTTGTCTTCTGTTTGCTCAATTTTTGCTTCTTCTTTCTCTTCTATTGTTTCTGTTTTACTATCTGAAATTTCTCTAGCGATTGTTTGTAGTGATTCTGTTGATTCTTTTCCAGAGTTCTCCTTTTCTTTTAACTTTTCAGATGTTATCGTAATTGTTTCTATCTTATTCTTTTCTACAGTATCCTGTTTAGTGTGATCAGTATCATCTTTTTTCTGCTTAATTACTTCTTCTTCTTTTACTACTTCTTTTACTATACTCGATATTTCTTTTTTAGTTTCAAATTCAGATAATTTCTTTTCGTCAATTGATATCTCAGTGATTTGTTCTGATATAGTTTCTACTTTCTTTTCTTTAGATTTTCCTTTACGCTTTTTTGGAGATTTTTCAAATTTTGTTTCAACAACTTGTTCAACAATTTCAGGCTTGCTTTCAATTTCACACTTTATAGATGTTTGTATTTCTTTTTGAACTTCCTTGTCTTCTTCAATTTTTAATTCTTTTTCTGATATTTTTTCTTCAATCTCTTTAACTATTTTATTCTCTTCAATTGATGTTTCAGTAATTTGATCTAATGCAATTTCTGCTGTAATTTCTTTAATTTTAAGTTCGGATAATTTCTTTTCTTCAATTTTAGTGACTTCCTCTTCCTTAGATTTGTCCTTATTTTTTTCTGAAAGTTCTAATTTTTCAGATTTTGTTTTTTTAGTAATCTCAGACTTATATTCGTCTTCAGATTTCATTATTGTTTTTAGTTCTTCCTCAATTTCTTTAATTTCTTTAATTTCCTCAACATCTGGTTCCTTTTTTAATATTTCTTTGATTTCAGGTTTAGATACTTCCTTCTCTTTAATTGCTGTTTCTGTAGTAATTGCTTTTTTCTTATCCTTTGATTTTCCTTTACGTTTTCCAGAAGCTGGTTTTTCATACATTGTTTCTTGAACAAACTCAGATGTAGTTGCTTTTATATCTTGGACATCTTTTGCTTCTGATTGTTCTTTCGGTATTTCTTTTTGTATTTCAGATTCGAATACTTTATTTTCTTCAATGAATGCTTCAGTGACTTGTTTTGATGTTTCTATTTCTGCTTTTCTTTCTTTAGATTTCTTCTTATATTTTTCTGATTGTATTGGTTTGTCAGATTTTGTTTCTTGAAGAAGTTCACTTTCAGTTATCGTATTTTCGTTTGATTTTTCTTGAATTTCTTTATATTCAATTTCAGATATTATATTTTCTTTTGTTTCTTCTTGATTTTTAATTTCTGATTCTTTCGTAATTTCTTCCTTTAATTTTAACTCTATTTCTGTTGTCTGAGCATTATCTGTTTGTTTAGCTTGTTCCTTATTTTTAGATTCTTGTTTCGGTTGTTCCTTATCAGATTTTCCTTTCTTCGATTTTTTATTCTTCTTACCACCGAATTGTTCTTTTATTTCTATTTTCGACTTTTCTACAATCTTATCTTGTGTATTTACTTCCATTATTTTATCTGTCTCTGGAACTTCTAACTCAATAGCTTGTAATTTTTCTTTTCCTTCCTTTATTTCTATCTTTTCTTCAGGGTTTTTCTCAACTTTTTCAACAGCAATTTCTTCCTTACTTTTTTCTTTCAGATCTTTTTCAACTTCTTTTATTTTCGATTTGCCTTTACCTTTCTTTTTTGGTTGGTTGGTTTTTTCTATATCTTGCTCAATTGGTTCTTCTGTCGTTTCTTCCTCGATTTCATTCACCTTTGTCTTATTTTTCTCTTTTTCTTGTTCCTCTTTCGTTATTTGATTACGATCCGCATTATTTGACTTTGCTTTACGTTTGTCTTTCTTAGATTTTTCTTCTTTTCCTTTGCTTGTCTCCTTTTTCTTTTGCTCTTCTATTTTCTCTGCATTTTCCTCTTTCTGTTCTATTGCTAAAATTTCTTCAGGAACTATAGGTTTATCGCTCGATTGCTTTGCATCATCTCGTCTGGTACTCCTAGATCGTGATCTGGATCGTCTAGATCGCAATTCTTTTCGATTTACAAATTCTATGAAACCTTGTTCGTCTACCTGAACTACTTCTTCAATGGGTACTGGTTCTGGAGCTTGCTCTACATGAATCTGTACCTGAGGATACGAATGTTGCTCGATAGTTCGCTCTTTTTTTACTGTAGGTGATGAAATTTTTGATGGTTCGACATATTTTCCAACTATAGCAGCCCACGAATCTTTCGTTTTCTGCGGCGATTCAATATCCTGAATAGAAGATTTAAAATCAATTTCTTCTTCTAATGCTTCTTTCTCGATTTCTTCTACCCACGAAGTTGATTCCATTTTAAAGACATCTTTTTTAATAACTAATTCATCAAACTTTTTATCCATTGTTACTTCTTCCTCAGATTTAATCGTTTCTTCTTTAATATTTTCAATTTCTGTGATTATTAGTGCTTCTTCCTGTGCAATTTCTTTTTTCTCAATGCTTTGATTAAGCATAATAGGAATCGGTTTAGCAATTATTATATCTTCTTGATTAAATTGTGGAGAGGTTCTTTTATTGGAAGCAGCCACTTGAGCATAAGATTTGTTCGAGTCTTTCGTGATCAATTCTTGTGATTCTTCAATAGTTATCTCTTTTTCTCTTTCATTTTCAGTATTCATAGAAGAGGCTTTCTCAATAACATTCTTCTCTTGTTTCGCATCTTTTTTCTTTTGATGTTTCATCCGTTTTTGATATGCTGGTGGACTCTGCGGTTCTTCAGGTACAATTTCATCTACTTTTTCTATTTTTTCTAATTTTGGAGTTTCAGGTATTGATTCTTCAGACGTTACTTTCGAAATATCTGTAGAATTATTGATTGTTTCCGTATTTCCTTTCATGCTAACAATTGATGCCCATGATTTGGTACACAACGATGGCTGAATTTCTTCTTGTAATGCTTCTTTTATTTCTATTTGACTCTCTTCCTTTTTAAACTCTACTGGAGAAATTTCACTTACAATTTCTTGAGACACTGGTGTTGGAATGTCGTTTGTTTTCTTCGATTTTTCTTCACGCTTCTTCTTTGAATCTGGAGAACTAATTTCCTGTTTATCTTGTTTCTTTGGTTCTTTATCTGGGATAGATTTAGCTTTAATATCAGCTTTCTCTTTGAATTGTTTCTGTTTTCCAGATTTTGTCTTTGTTTCTTCTTTCTTAGATTTCTCTGTAGGTTTAGTTTTTTCTTCTTTTGTTGAAGATTGAATTGCATCTAAATCTATTATCTCTATTGCTTTACCATTGACTAATTTTTCGGTTTCTGTTATTTCAGTTACGACATTAGTATCTTTTTCTAAAGAACAGGATTTCATAGTTTCAAGTTCTTCTGTGATAATTTTTTCTTCTTTTGATGCTTCTTTAATTTCTTCTTTTTTCTTAGATTCTTTGGAAGTCTTCTTCTTTTCAGAAACAGATTTCTCAATAACTTTGTCTATATTTTCTTGTTCAATCACAATTGGATTTTCTAGAACTGGAGTTTCTTCTTTCTTTTCGTTTTGTTTCTTCTGTTTCTTTTTGCTTTTTTCTGATTTCATTTCTTTTCCTACTTTTGGAGATTCCATCACAGGTTTTACTTCTTCTTTTGTTTTTGATTGTGACGTGGTTAATAATTCTTCCGTTGTAATATTTTTTTCCATCTTCTTCTCTTCTTTTTGATCAATAATTTCATCTGTTGAAATTTCCTTTATTGCAGTAATAAGTTCTTCCATTGTTCTTGTTAATTCTGAAGTCTCGATATCAATATCTTTTTTCTCAATTACTTCAGATTCTTTGATTAATAATGGAATCTCAATTTCTTTTTTCTTAATTTCTGCAGTAAGTTGTTCCATAGTCTGTGATAATTCTGCTGTTTCAATAGTATCTTTCTCCTCATGTATTTCAAGTTCTTTGATTGGAGCTTCTTTAATTTCTGTAAATTGTTCTATAATTTGTGTCATTTCTGTTTCAACAGTATCTTTTTTCTCAATTACTTCGTGTTCTTTGATCGATGAAATCTCCTTTTTCTTATCCTTTGATTTCTCACCTTTTGATTGCTTTTCTTTCTTTGATTTTTCCGTTTTTTGATTTTTTTCTCAGATGCTTGTTCTTTTTTCTCAGTTTCAGACTCTTTCTTTCTTTCTTCTACATTTGTTACAATTTTATTTTGCTCTTCTTCTTTCTTGATCATATCAAGTTCTTTAGTCACGTCTTCAATAAGAGCTGCTGTTTGATCTAAAATTCTATCTGTAGATTTAATTTCTGTGGTAACTTCTTCAATAACTTTCATAGTATCTTTCTCAATATTAATTATCTTTTTATCTTTTTCTAATTTTACTGGTGGTTTTTCTTCTTCATAAATTTCGATACTTTCCTTTTTAATTTCAGCATCTATTGATTTAGACTCCTGATTAGACTCCTCTACATTAGAGAATGTGATTTCTTCTTTTTTGACTTCTAATTCTTCTAATTTTATTGGTGATTTTACTTCAACATCTGTTAGTTTAGACTCTTCCACAAAAGTGGGTATGACCTCTTTTAATTCTTTTAATTCCATTGGTAGTTTTTCTTCTTTATAAATTTGAATAATTTCCTTTTCAATTTCAGCATTTGTTGATTCAAACTCTTCCACAGGAGGTGTGATTTCTTTTTCTTGAATCAGCTTAGATTTCACCCATTCAGATTCTAATTTATAGAATGTACTAATAGGATATTTAAGGGTTTCTCCAATAAGTGCATATTTTCGGTATTCTGCTTCAGATTCCTCTGTATTTTCCGTTTTCTTTTCTATTTCTTTAGATTTTTCCTCAATTGATTCATGAAGTGCATGCTTTCTGTATTCTGTTTCAGATTCCTTTATATCTTCCATTTTCTTTTCTGTTTCCTTAGATTTTTCTTGAATTGTTTCCTGAGATGCATGTTTTCTGTATTCAATCTCAGATTGCTCTGCACTTTCTATTTTCTTTTCTTCTTCTTTAGGCTTCTTCATGATTGATTCCTGAACAATTCTTTCAATACTATCTGATCTTGGTAACACAGAAGCAGGTACATTTTCTTCTAATACTTTTACTATCTTGAAATGTTTATAGAAATCACTTTCTGCCTTAATATAAGGACGATAATTGAACCAATAAGGTTTAACTAAATCTGTGAAATAATATGGATTTATATCTTTTGTTTTTGACTTAGAATCTTTATTTTCGACAGGAACTTCTTCTATCTTTTTAGAATCTTTAACCTTAACAGGAACTTCTATTGATTTTTCAGATTCTATGATCTTTTCTTCAAGAATTGTTTTATTTTCAATGCTTTCGATTTTAGATTTAGAATCTTCATCTACAATTGTTTCTAGTTTCTCAGAATCCACTATCTTTTCTTCAACTTTAATTTCTTCTTGGGATTTAGAATAATCAATTTTAACAGGAACTTCTTTGAATGATTTTTCAGATTCTTCAAACAGAGCTGTTTTATTTTCAATTTCTTTCGTTATTGATTTAATTTCAACAGGAATTTCTATTTTTTCTTCAAGATCTTTTTTTTCAACTATAGTTGTTTCACTATTTATTTTTTCAATTATGGATTTAGAATCTTTAATATTAATAGGAACTTCTTTAATTTTTTCTTCATCCTGAGTTGCCTTATTTTCAATTTCTTTAGATTTAATATCTTCAAGCTTAACAGAAATAACATCTTCTCGTTTTTCAGTATCTATTATCTTTTCCTTAACCAGATCTATGTTATCTTCAATACCTTTCATTTTAGATTTAGAATCTTCAATTCTTTCTTGTTTTTCAGAATCTATTTTATCTTTAATTTTACTTTCTTCTGTTTGAGGTTTAGCATCGTTAACTTTAATAGGAACTTCTATTAGTTTCTCAAATTCTGCAACTTTTTCTTCAGGCAGAATTATTTTATCCTCAACTTCTTTTGTTACAGATTTAATTTCAACAGGAACTTCTACTCCTTTTTCAGAGTCTACTATCTTTTCTTCAACTACAGTTGTTTTACTATTAACTTCTTCAGTTTCAATTTTAACAGGAACTTCAATTGGTTTCTCTAAATCTCCAATCTTTTCTTCATTCAAAATTGTTTTATTTTCAATTTCTTGCAACTTAAATTTACTATCTTCAAGTTTAACAAGAACAGTTTCTTGTTTTTCGATATCTACAATTTTTTGTTCAATTACCATAGCTTTTCTTTCAGTTTCCAACAATTCTTCCATAGTATTCTTCACATCTTTTCCCTTTCCAACAGTGAAAAGAAGCTCTTCCACAGTTTTATTCGTTTCTCGCTTTTCTTCCACACTTTTATTCTCATTCGCTACTATTAACTCACTCGAATCTTTGAATTTCTCACTTTCAGTTTCTCCAAGAACGTTTACCTCCTCTTTAACTATCATTTCACTCTTTTCAGCCTTACCCTCGATTTCGCTCGATGTATCTTGCGAAATTTTCGCATCCACGCCCTGTTCCTCCTTTAAATCATCGACCTCTTGTTCATCTTTCGCGTTTTCTACAGACTTTGCCGACAAGGGAGTCCCAGAACGATCTTTCCTCCTATCCTGAACGCTACCGAACAAAATCGGTTGATCGTCTTTGACGAGATTGATATAATTCGCATAATCGAAATTCGACTCGTCCACTAATGTATCTAAAAACTCTTTCGAGGGGATACCAACAGCTGAATCATCCGATACCCTAGCATATCTGGTTGTTAAGCTAGCCTCTACTGTTTCAGGACGTAGGGTGATTAATTCAGTGGGTTTGGAGCCTACGATCTTAGGTAAGGAAATGTTTTCTAAGATCTCTACGGATTTCACGGATTTCACGTTCGGAGGCTTCACTTCGACAGACCCCGGCATGCTGGTCGTAGTCGTCACCGTGGTTACCGTCCTTTCGATGATTAATGCTTTGCCCGATGATGTCGAAGATGATTCTTCGACTGGCGAACTATTGTCTGTGACGTTTGGAATCTCTTCTGTCAATGAAAGAGACGGACCTTCTTTTGTACTTGGTTTTTCAATCAGGTCTTGCGAGAGAGATTTTGACTCGTCAGATTCAATAATTTGATCTTTTTCAGGCTCAATTATTGGAGTTATTTCAGGTTGCAACGTTGTTGATATTTCTTTCTCTTCAAAAATAGATTTTTCGGGAGCAACATCAGGTATTTCGATAGATTCTTCAATTGGTTTTGTATCATTGATAGATTTTTCTGTAATTGTCTTTTGTTTTGCTTGTGGAGATTCAATATTATCTTTGTCTTTATTCTCTTGTTTCTTCTTTTTCTTTTTATCGGATTTTGGTGTACTTGGTTGATTCTTTGGTGTACTTGGTTTACTTGACTCTTGAACTATAGAAAGTGGAGCTATTTTTTCGACAGGATGTTTCTCCTTTGATTTATTCGACTTTTTATTCTTCGATGATGTACTTGGCATTTCACTCTTTTGCTCTGGTGGTTGATTTTCAAGTTCTTCTATTTTTGAAATTTCAGGAAGAGGTATTTCCTTTTTCCCTTTCGTATCACTGACTTCAACTTTTTCATCAGTTTCTTTTGCTATTTCTACAGTTTCTTGTTTTATTGTTTCTATAAATGTTTCCGTACTTCCTTCAACAATAGTCTTTTCAGGTATTTTTTCAATAGCAGATTGTATCTCAATTTTGTCTGTTAGAATTGTATCTTTTTCTTTCTTTTCTTCAACCTGAACTGCATTAATTTTCTCTTCAACTTCGATAACAATTTCTTCTTTTGCTTCTTTTATAGATTTTTCTTTCGTATTATCGACTTTTTCTTTTAATTTTATCGTTTCCTTTTGCATTTCTTTTTTCTCTGTCTTTTCTTTTTGTTCTATAGATTTCAAACTTTCTTCTTTTTTTTCTCTTTTCGGTGATTTAGATTTCTTATGTTTTTTCATCTCTGATTGTTCTGTATTTGGTACAACAGATTCAAATTTCAAATTTTCTTTCTCCAATTCTTCTATAATAATTTTTTCATCAATTTTTTGTTCAACAATTTGTTTGTCAACGATTATTGTCTCTTCTTTTTTGATAATCTCAGTTACAGGTTTCTGATTAATATCCGCTTCTTTTTTAGATTTCTTTCCACTTTTCGTTTTTGTTTGTTTCTCTGCTTCACCTGCTTTCTTTGTTCTTTTTTTGGTGTCGAACATTCCTTCGAATCTTTATTATCAATTTCTTTAACAGATTCTATCGCACTAATTAATGGACTTATTATAGCTTTCTGCTCTTCTTTTATGTTTTCTTTTAATGCTACATCTGTTCCTATATCTTTCTTTTTGCGATCTTTACTTTCAGCTTTCTTTTCCTTCTCTTTTCCAGTTACCTTTTTCTCTTTTTCATCTTTTGATGTTTTCATATCAATTTCTGCTTTAACCTCTTCGGTTTCTTTTAATTTAATATCTATCACCTCTGATTTTTCTATAGATTTTTTCTGTTTCGATTGTTCTGTTTTCTTTTCTTCTTTTTGTTGGCTCTGTTTCTTAGGTGTCTGATCTTTCGAGACTTCATTCTCGGTTCCTTGTTTCTGTTTTTTATTCTTTTTCGATTTATCCTGTTCTTTAGGTTTTGCAGATTCCTTCTCTTTTGATTCAACTTTTGCTTCAGATATTTTTTCTGATTTCATAAGTTTTACAGATTTCGTATCTTCTTGTTTCTGTGATTGATCTAAGTTTTCAATATTTTCAACTGATTTAATGTCTTTCTCTTTTTGAATTTCCGCTTTATCTTCAACGAGTATCGCTTTTTTAATTTGTTCAGATTCACTTTCAGTTTTCGTAGATTTCACATTATCTTTATTAGACTTATCTTTCACCGTACCAGTTTGTTCTTTACCTTTTTGCTTTTTCTTCGATAGATTAGCAGAATCTTTCTGCGCTTTCTCTTCCTTCGTTTCAACTTTCCTCATTTCACTACTCGATTCGATTTTAATTTCAGATTTTTTTTCCGACTCGCTCTTTCTATTTTCAATTTTCTCTTTAGAAATCTTAGCTTCGTCCTTTGCATTCCTCTTCTCAATATTTTTCTCTTCTTTACTTTCTTTCGTATCATTCTTCGATTTCATCTGTTCTTTCGCGTTAACCTGATTCATTGCAATTTCTGACTCGTCTCTAACCTTTTCCGTCTTCGATTTATTTTGTTTCTTTTTCTCGCCAGGCTTCACACCTTTCCTTTCATTATCCTCTTTAGATTTTTCTGTTTGAATAGTTTGAGTCGTATCCTTAATCTTACTCTGTTCCCTCGATTTATCTCTCTTTTTCTGCTTATCCATATCCTCAATTTCTTTCAGAGCCTTGTCTATCTCATCGTCCATCGATTTCTCCGGCTTCTTCTTCTTTCCCTTTCGTTTCTTTTCCTGAGACCTGCTCCTCTGTTGAACATCATGCTTCTCCTCCTGAACCTCTTGCTTTTCATCTTGTTTCTGTGCTTCGATCTTTTTCATCTTTTCGACATCCACTCTCTTTTCTGATCGAACATCCTCCACTTTTTCCTTTTTAATCTCAACCTCGTCACTCTTCACATTTATTTTAGAAGTATTTTCCACGACAATTTCATCTTTCGTTTCAAATATCTGTTTTTGTTGCTCCACATTAATCTTAATTTTCTCCTTTTGAAGTTTCTCTTTCGAATACTCGGGCCCCCTTCTAGCTCTCTTTTCCGGGATCTTCGTCTTCGGCGCCTCCTGATGAGTTTTCCTCGTCTCCCTTTTCCTCGTTACGTCCCAATTGCTTTCCTGTTTACTTACCGACGATTCTCGAGTTTGCCTCGCCTCCTGAGAAGGACTCGTCTCATGCACCGAGGACGCTGTCGAATTCACAGGTGAATACGAACGTTCTTTCGCCTGTTTCGAGGCTAATGTCGTCGGTGGAATACTCGTTGGTGGAGAATAACTACTGACGGCCGATGACGGTTTAGGAGTGAGACCCTGTGACAAGATTTGAGCATAGGAGAATGTTTTGCTCTCGGTGATTATTTTCGTCTTCACCGGTGTGCTTTCTGTTGATGGTGTTGCAGAGGAAACAGGTTGTACAGGTTGTACAGGTTGTTCCACTGGTTGCTCTACTAGTTGTTCCACTGATTGTTGCATCGATTGCTGCACAGGCTGTTGTTCTACAGGCTGTTGCACAGGCTGTTCTTGTTCCACAGATTTCTCTTCAACAATCTGTATTGATTGTTGAATAATAGGTTGAACGACAGGTTGAATATCCACAGCTTGAGGAATCTGACAAGATAAACATTTCTCTTCCACATTTTGCATAATAATTGGAGCACCCTTTGGATTACTTTTGTATTTAGATTGATGCGGTTGTCTCTGTTTCTGCAACAAATTCTGCTGATAAATCTCTGGTTCGGGGATGTAACTAGGTTGTGCCACGTACTGTTCAGACGGAAATGCTATCTGACTCTCGGTATAATGAGGAAGAGCCATCTGCTGAGGGGATGCAGCTGGCATGTAGACGTAAGAGCTTACTGGATAAGCTACCTGAGATCCAATGAATCCAACCAATTCTGGAATGGCTGGTCGAAGAGGTGGTTGAATATAGTTGTACACTTCTTGAACTTGTTGCGGTGCTCTCGCAATGTTCTTGTAATTCTTTTCATTCAATAGAACGTACTCTTCCATGCTCTCATCGGCCCAACTAGTTTGAGCCTCTGCCGATTCCTCGGGTTTCACGGAAGAAGGTATGATTTCAGGCACGTCTTCACCCATTACCTCAACAGACTGGTAACTCTCTATCTCTTCACTCGCTTCTTCCTCAAGAGCTTCCTGAACTTCCGTCTCTTCCTCCACTTCGAGTCTTGGCACATTGAATTCCAACTTCTCATTTTGAACCGTTTCCGCAGACAACTCTTCAACCACAGTCTCCCTGACCTCTCTGCCAACCATGTTAACATCCTTGCCAGCCTCCACCGAGGGACTGCGAGAACTTTGTCTATTTCCACGAAGGATATCCGCGTAGGACGTAGAACCAGGCACCCAAATGGGACTAGCCGATCTTCCTCTCCTCTCAACTTTAGGCGCTAACGTGTTCTTAAGTATCAACGATTCCTTTTTCTTCTGTTCCATCGATCTAGAAATCTCCATCGCGTTTTCATTCTCAACGGACGAATTCCTCTCCCTAGATTCCCTCACAGCCTCGTCACTGTTATTTCTAACCGAACCAGCCCTCCTCGACTGACTTCTCATCCTAGAATCCACCGAATCCACCTTGGAAACGTGTCTTCTGCTTTCGACTCTCATCTCAGACTCCTTCTGCTCGCTCTGTTCCTCGATTCTCGCCTGTTCCTCGTCGCATCTAGTTTCTATTCTCGCGGTGCTCGGTGGAGTTTCATCGCGGACCGGTTGTTCAACGACGGGTTTCTGGATATCCACAGATCTTGAGAATTGAGCAGTCGGTCTAAGCACTTGAATCGAGAGTGGGGTAGGAGCAGCCTCGTCTCGGTTGTTTCTAAAGGGGCTAGAACCCCTGGAATTGGGGCTCGTGCGACCAGCGGCGATGTCCGCGTACGAGACCTGATTGACGAACCTTGTCTCGTTGCTTTGTACATAGTACGGGTCCACGGTGTATATTTCATCCAGCAATGTCTTGACGCGTTGCTTCCAATCGTCCATCCTTTGTTGCAGGCTCTGCTTTATCCGCCATGGAGGAACCAGCCAAGGCACAACAATGGAATTATACATATGTCAATTTTTTTCTGCGAGTTTTTCTTTTTCTTTTGTGATGTCTTATCTTAACATTTTGTTTATGGCGGGGTGAGAATAATAAAAAGATTGTTAACTCTGGTGGAGAAGTAATGACGGAGGGATCGGGGGGTTGGTTGTTATCAGATAATGTGGTCAGGGGTGTTAAAAACGGATTATCGTGGAATTTTAAAGATATCTTTCTTCAGGTAATTTTAGTATATGCACGTATGCTAGATTAACGTTATGATCAGCGATGGTTTGGCTCGCGAAGAAATACACGATATTTTTATTTTTTTTTTGCAACAAAGAAGGCTTTTTATTCTCTCTTTTTTAAAATAATAACATACTTTCGATCGTTTTTTTTTTCTATTCTTTTTCGTTTTTCTTTAATAAGAATGCAAGTCTGCTCTCTATGCCTGGACGAACAATAACATTTAGGAAAAAGTTTTGCTCGATATAATATAATATAGACGATATACGTATATATATATATATATATATATTGTACATACATTATATATATATATAATATATATATATAATATAAAGTTCGCTAAAAAAAGATCCTGAGGTATTAAAAATCGGTATCCACTCCTCGAACGAGGACGAACGACGATGTTTCACAGCTGACAGATTCTCTGAAAGAGAATCTTCTGCCATTTTTTTCTTCGACGTTCCCTTCGCTCGAGATGGAACTCGCGGAACTGCACCGGGTGAGAAAAGAAACGAACGCGAGGAAACGACGCTAATGATTGTCACAACGTGACCAGACGTATCGCGAAGCTTTCGACGATCTGGATCGCCTATCTAGACTGGTCATGGATCCAATGGCTCTGGATCGGGCCTGCCACGTTGCGCGAGGATCTTCGACCTCTCTGTACGCGCCTGGATTTTGCTCTGCAACGACTTGATCTTCTCACGACAAATCTATCACGATGGAACGAAGGAACAACAACACGCCGAGCGATCGAGCGAGATGGAACGAGATCGTGGACGAAATTTCGATCGAGAGAGACAGAGATCCGAGAAAACCAAAGCGAAGAATGAGAAATAAGGAGAGAAATAAGAAATCGGAAGATGTTTGAAGCGTAAACGATGATCGAAACGAAACAGAAAGGGTAAAGGTGAAACGTGTGTGGAATGGATTTATATATGTATATATATATATATTTTTTTAAAGGAGAGACGGGAAAGGATACAGCAAACAAAATATCGTAAATCAAATAGCCGATGCGATGAATTAAAAAAGTTAATACAAAGAAAAAAAAGAAAAAGATAAGACACAATATGAAGTTAAATGAGAAAGAAAAAAAATATATTCAAAGAATATGAGAGAGATTATTAATACGACTAATTTTTTGGAGCGTTGACTTGTGCTCGCTGCGTTCTCACAAGTCTCGACACACGTCTTGGAGGTCACTTGATTTTCTTGCGTGTCTTACGTTTCCATATTCATTCTCGATCGAACGAGCAAAGGTATATCTCATTGCGAACAACAACAATACGAAAATTCAGCTGAACTACTTTCTGTGAAGACAGAACCTCGATCGCCTAAAGTGAATTAAAGTGTTTGATACAATTAGGTGTTTGCATATTGTACGATACGGTTTTTACATATCTTTGTGCGACTACTGTTACGATTATTCGTTGTCTCTTCGTTTTAACTCTGTATAAATAAATAAATAAATAATTGTATAGAGTGCCATAAGAGTGCAATTCCAATATGCGGAATCGCATTTTCCTCGTAAACACGCAGATAGACAAGTGAAATACGACGAGAAAAGAAGAGAAAATAAAAAAAAAGATAGAAACACGTGACGTTACACAAAGAAAAACAAGCAAAATCAAGTAAACTCCATCACGAAAAAACATATATGTGTATGTGTGTACATGTGTATCGTTAAGATTTTTGTGATGTATATAAGGATATTATATGAGAATTAGAAAGACAGAGACGCAGAGACGTGCGTGAACAGTGACGTATGACCGATTGATCTCTCGGTTGTGAAGAGAACAGGTGTGATAAGATTTAGTCAAGAGCATGATACCAACCAATACCGCGTAACATGATGTACCACCACGATGATCAGCATGCTTGCGCGATCACGATCGTTCAATCGTTTTTACGAAAGAACGATCGATTTCGATATTAACTTTGCAACGAGCGTAAAACAATTCTCTTTTTTTTTTTGTACGTGAATTCGAAATTCTTTTGGAATTTTGGAAACAGCGTTATACAATGAAAGTTGTCTTATAATTTCTTTGGAATGTAAATAGAAAGAGAGGAAAGTGAAGAGATGTTGGAAAGTTAATAAAAGAAAGATGTTAAGCGGTTAAGCACTGGTGAGTAATTATGAAAAGCTTTGGTGAGGTGAGGAAAAATAATTATAAAGATACGTGTATGAAATGAAAATTAAAATAAGGAATCGACAAGGATCTATAAATTATGATTTCAACGGAAACACTTTGATTTGAATAAATAATAATAATAATAATAATAATAATAATAATAATAATAAAAAGATACGTCGACCTCTGTCTCCCATTAGAAATTATTTTAGAAATGGATCATCAAAATGTTTCCAGATTCTGGTTTATAAATTTTTATTGACTACTTTTAAAAGATACACGAGAAATATTTTTTAAAAGGATAGCCAATAAAAATTTCGTTTCATCCTGACGCGGATTAAGGATTAATGCGGCTCGATCGACGGTTAATTGTTAGTCACTTGAGAGATTTCGGAGAGCAGGCATTGATGTCTCGAGAGCAGATGCCAGAGAGAAATTCGACTTTATCGTTCGGAAAACTACCCCCGACCACGAACGTGTACAAAGAAAAAAAAAAAACAAAAGAAATAAAAAAGAAAAAAACATGTAAGGGAGAATCGCGTTTTTATATCCTGGTGGTGGCCTTCAGTTGGTATCGAGCAGATGCAAAAAATCAACTTGCTGCTTTAGCGCACTTGTGCAGGTGATAAAAAGATGGGATCAAGGCAAACCTACCTGTTGCTCCTGCAACGCCTTCTCCTTGTCGGTGGACAGGTATGTCGGACTCAGCACTGCCCTCAATTGTTGCTCTACCTGCATAATCTGTTGCCTCAATTGTTGTATCTCCTAGAACGACAAACAGATGTCAGCCGCATTCTTTTCGAAATCGTAAATATTACTGATCTTATTTGTTCGAGTAAAATAAATTAAATAATACGTATAATTATTTTCTCGAAAAAAGTATTATTTTTATCGATGGTGAATAGGTGAAACAAGATGATAGATCACTTAGATAAATTTATATTGCACGTGCAATTTTTTTATAAGTGCAACGTGTAAATGCACTTGGATTATGAAAGATGTAATTTTTTAAATACATTTTTGCATTTTTTTAAGCAAAACATAGTATTTTCTTTCACAGTTTTTTTCATAGTAAAACCGTGTAATTTTTATACAAGTGCAACTTGCATTTTATTCATTACAAGTCAACTACTTGCAAAGTGAAAGTGTTTCACTTTTCACTTCTTTTTATCAACTTATTCACCATTTTAATTCTTGGATCAGTAATGACGTTTCAAAAGAACGCAGCTCCAGTCAGGAGCGAGTCCTGACCTGTTGATATTGATCGATCTGAGCTAAACAACCCTCCAACGCTGTAGTCTGTTCCTTCACGTTGGCGTGAAGATTGTCTAACTCGGCCAGCAGCTCGTCAACCGTTTCGCCGATTCGGCTATCGCCACCGATCCCCGATCGGAAGTGAACCTGGAGCTTCTCCATCGATATACCGATTTTCGTTTTCTGTATCGCAATATCGCTTAGCATTTTCTCCCGTATGCTGTGCTGATCCCGTAACGGTTCTTTTTGTTCTGCGGCGATTCGAGACTCTGTTTCGCTTTCTCGATCCACGTTTTCACTTCTTTCATCTTTCGCTCGCATTGCTCCCATTCCTCGCTAGTTTCTTGCAGCAGCGCGTTCTGAAACGAGTAATTCGAACGAATGTTCATCTTACGCACGCCTTCCCTATATAGAGTTTGTAAAAACGAGAGAAACTAACCCTCTCCAACAGTTGACCCTCGACTTGAACCTTAGCTTCTTCAGCTTCGAGCAGTTTCTCGGGCAAGTCGCCCACGCTGCAAACCTGACCGATACTCTCGAGCTCCTTACCCATGTCACTGAGATTCTTGTTTATCTGTTTGCAGCTTTTCACGGCTGTCTGCAAAGCGGCGCGGAACAGATTCAAGGATTAATAAAATTCGCGGAGAATACGAGGAGAATACAATCGAATTTCTCTATTTTTCGAATGAAACGCAAAGGAATATGAGTTTTTCGAAGTAATTCTAAAGAAATAAAAATTCCCCTTCAATCCAATATATATATATATACACATTAATAGAGAAATTTAGACAAAGAAGATCGATAAATCGAACCAAAAACCCACATTCTTCCGTCTCTCATAAGAATTCTAGAGAAGCAGAGAGTTAGCCCCGTCAATCAGTCCATTTCCTGCTCACGTACCGAATACTCGTGCAACCTTTGCCTAGCCTGCACGAGGGTGCTGAGCTTCAAAGGCTCAACCAAGAATTGTTTCTTCTCCTCGGTCCACGTCCTCACGGCCTCGTATAACGACAAGAATCTCTGCCAAGCGTCAATGGTATCCGCCACCACTTGTTTCCTCTCGTCCAACCAATTCCTCACTTGGTTCAACTGTTCGGTCACGTTGTGAACGGTGCTGTCGATCAATTGTTTCTCCGTATCGTCCCTCGTGTTCTCCGCAATGGTACGGCCATTTCTCGTTAATCGTTCGAGCTTGTCGCTAATCGTACCCAACTCCTCTTGCACCTGCCTCAATTGATCCTTGAGAGGTACAGGCTCGATCGATCTGTCCTGAACCTTCAACTCGGCCTGCCTTATCCACGCTTGAACCTCGTCCAGATCGGTCAGATAATCCGATCTGACGGTTCTCGCGCGCTTCTGATCCCTCTGTTTCTCCTCCATGGCCTGCGCTGTCGCCTCGGCGCAAAGTTCGAGGGCGGTCAGGTGTTGGGCAAGATCGCTGGGGACAAGCTGCTGGCTAGCTTGGTACCGCGCCTTAGTGCTTCCTGAGAACTTTTTCCCGCTCTCGAGGAGCTGCTCGACAGCCCAACGCAGCTCGTCAAGCTCCTCCTCGGTCGCGTCCTGATCCGGCCCGAATATGTACAAGTTCGAGGCGCGTTCGCGCGCCTCGTTCAGACGCTTCCTCAGCTGATCGATCTCACGCTCAGTGCCTTCGAACGCCTCCAAGTCCTCGTCCGCCTTCTTGGATTTCGTCTGCAGGGTGTCGATGAGCCTGCAAACCGATTCCCTCTGATTCGCTATTCGATATCTCTCTCGCGTGTGCTAATATTTTTCTCTATCTCTGATTGGCGTTTTTTTTGGCGTTTCTTCGAGGTCGAGAGCCTAGTCGCACCGCGGTTATGAAATGATAATTGCGACGAAGTTGTGCCAAACTCAAAAAGATGAAAGTTTAGAAGAGGAGGATTGAAAGATTCCGTTGTTTTTCTTTTATTAAAAAATTTCTAAAATCGTATCTCGTGAACGATGTCAAATTATATTTATCATATTTTTTTTAAATTAAACTCTGGAGAAGAAATTAAAGACTGGACAGATAGAGACACAACTCTCTTCGATGTCGAACAATTTTAAAAACTCTGACTGGTCAACGAAGCTTCGAACAGCAACAACTTACGCGTGTTCTCGAATTGACGGACACGTTTACGGCACGACCGGAAGTTTTACGTGTTCGCAGAATCGACAGGATATCAACGTGACCGTCGGCGAGCCCGTGGTCGCTACCTTACTAACGGAAAAACGATTTGCCTGTTAGCGGCGTGGTTGTGCACGGAGGCCAGGCATAAAAATAGAATTTAGCATATTTCCTTTGGCCTACGGGTCTCAAATAATGCGTGCCAACGTGGCGATCATCGTGGCGCCCGTTGGATTTGTAGGGCATAGGTTGACGAAGGAGCACGAGGTGAAAGAAGAAAAAGCTGAGGATACGGAGGATCGATCGAACACGAGGAATTGTACGTGGTACGGAGGTAGGACGAAATTAGAATCGGAAATGCGTGTCGCTGGTTCAGCTGTAGCTAGCTGGCTTCATTCCAGCCAGAGCGGAGGACGCTTTGGCTAAAAGTAGACGAACTATATGTGCGCGATTGTGTTGAGGAACCGGTTGGTTACTTGTCGGAATTGAAATTGTTCTTTTGTTAATGAACAATGTTTCTTTTTCTTTCGAGTAATTCGCCAATTTCGAAAATTCGCCATCTGTTCTCATTTTTTTACGACCAATAGTCGGGGTGGATGATGAAGAGATGTTTTGGAAATTTGAAGTCGATCAGTAGAACTCGACAGATTTGGAATTATCTTTTTCGTTTGTTAATATTTTCTTTTTCAGTGATATCGATATGCCAGTATTTGTATTTTAATTGTAATCGAGGGATAGATGAAGAAGACACGTTAAAGATTTGTAAGAAGTCTGTTGGAATTGGGATTATTCTTTTGTTAATGAATATCTTTTCCATTTTCTATATCTGTCTTTGTTTTTGTGACAATAGCTGGTTTCATAACTATTACATTCTTTCTAAATAATTGGCTATCTTGTATATCGTCGAAGATACATCGACATAAATATACCATATCAAATAAATTCAGAGAATTGATACTTTTAATCTAATATTCAGGAATTCGTAAATGAATTATCATAATGTTGAATCTCATTACGTTAAAATGTATTCAAGTGTGTATCGATGCCAAGTATTTTCACAAAAGATGACAACATCGTCGTAATGTATCATGAGGAATGTCGCAATCAGTCATCGCTCTGTTAAGATTTGTCTTTGAACACGAACCGGTGCATCGTGTTTTCAAGGTGTTTTATATATCGAACAACAATGACGTCGCGATTTCGATTATTCATAAACCATCTACTGACCAAAATATTGCGATCAAATTTAACAACAGATGAACGAAAAAAATAGAAAAAACATTGAAAATCGTCTTAATCCCGATAACTCGAACTACGATAATTTATTGAAAAAATTGAAATCTTTTTAAAACGATGAATTTGCCAAATATTGTTTCATGCTCAATGTTGAATGGTAAATAATTTTTTATTCAACGCCATTTGTAAATAAAAATTGAGAAGAATTCAACGCGTGCTGGTATCGTCCATTGGAAGTGGAATTTCAATATATGTGGAAGGCTGATGTCAATGTCAAGTTTCGTACCGCGTTTCTTTTCGCACGATGACATCATCGCAGCTAATAATGAACGAAGTTTAACACAAGGTGCAATCACCACTCGGCGGTTGTGGTATTTTCGAGACGAAACGAGAAATTTGCGAAACACGTTACGCTCTGTATCGCGCTGACTAACACGAAATTATATAAAGAAGAGATCGCTCGATTAGTCACGTTTCACGAAATTCTTTTATTCACTTTCGATATTCCCGAAAACATGGGAATGCAATCTATTGAAATTAATTTAATCGAACGTATTCGATAGAAACATTCTTATAATTTGAATTCGTTTGATCAATTCAATGTTTCGAGTTACACTTCCTTCAAATTCCAGTGTTGTATTCCAGTATTGAATTTCGATTTTGAGATATTTTAAACGCGATTGTCATTGCCCCCGAGATATCACGATCGACAGCGAATTCCGGAAGTGTAATCCACGTGATGTAATCCTTATGCGGGGATAGTGACTCGAGCCAACGTGCTCCGGCAACATCACAGAGTAACATCGTTCGTCGGGATTATTTTCGTAACACCAATAGAATGGTCCACTTTTTAGATATCTATCCACCAAGTACACTAAAGATATACCAGTAGTAACCTACTATGCGTTCCACTATACTCTTAAAATATTCTATCACTTCGATCAAAAATTTCTTTCTCTTTATCCACCTATATTTATCTACTCTCGTTTGAAACGAGATAAAAGAACGGAATCTCGATGTTCGAAGAAACGCATGAAAAAAAAAAAGAAAAAAAAGGAAAGATTTATCAATAATAATAATAATAATAATAATAATAATAATAAGATTCAACGGTAATAAAAATCGTACCAATCGAGTAATAAAATCGATCGTGATCGAATCGATTCCTCGACAAAATCTCGTTCTTCCCTGCCTGGTTCGAGGGTGATCGTTCTTCTTCTTTTGATCGCGTGAGATATATGAAAAATTCGCCGTGAATATATATCGGATAACAGTATGGCGCGGCACGATCAAGCTAAACAGCAGCGTTCGCGGTTCGAAACGTTATTAGAAGGGCGTAATAGCGTTAGCTTTGAATTTTCGTCTTGGCGAGGCGCCGCGACGCATGCGGCTTAGCTTGAAACGCTCGCCAAGACGGATAGGAACGAAAATCGACGACAGCCGAAAAGCGGCGTACGCCGGTATCCTAAGAATAATGTAGCTTATCCGCTTCTTTTTCCTCTTCCTCTTCGTTCGTCTTCGTTTTCGTCTTTGTCCTCGCGTTCGTTCGTGTTCGTCCTAATTTTCGTCTTCGTCGTACTCTTCGTCTTTCTCTTCATCATTGGAAAAGAACACTCCCTCCCCCCGAATATACCAACTCGAGTTCATTGGCTCGAAGATTTTTGTCATCATGTTTGTTTCTAATGTATTTTGGCAACCGTGGATTCGACGATATTACAATGTGGATCGAGGGATTGCATGTGATGTTGCAATACGTCGTAGAATAAAGATTTCGATTTCCATTTTCGCGAACTATTTGTATTTGAATTTTTTGGAGCAAGTATCGGGGAGATCGAGTGAATTAATACAATCGTTGGAATTCGTGTGAAAATTAAAATCACGCGTACTGAAACTAGATTTAAACTTTGTTGCTGTTTTTCGCTTCATTCGGGTCAGAGTGATTTTGAGCTTCGTGACACGTTGAATAATCCTTCAGACCTATCGAACCAGGGTTTATTTATTGTATTGTATTCGTATTGTAGATCGTGGGAGTTAAGTTTTAAAATTTATGTTCGAGCACAACTTCGCCAGATTGAGATGAATCAAGCGGATAAATAATTACATAAAACGAACAAAATACGAAATAACGCGAAGCAAATGATGAGATTACGAAGAAATTATCAATCCTATCCGCGATAAATATAATAGATAAGTAAATCTATAACAAAATTATTTCTAAAAACTAGACGTGAATCATTATTAATGTAAAAACTCGATTTTTAGCTTCGAGAGCATAAGTAAACAATATACGAAGATAATCAAACCGCGTATCTGTCACATTTACGTTCATTCACCATGACAGAGATTTCACTTCTATCTCTAAAAGTCGCCATATAAAATTCAACAATCCATCGATTTTCTAAAGAAAGAGAGAAAGAGTGTAAAAAGAGAAGAAAAAAAAAGAAGAAGAAATTGAACAGTCACTGCCGTACTATGATTCTCACACGAGAACACCCCCGGATTCAAGAATATTTCTTTGCTACACTGCAGCGAGGTTAACGTCGAGAGACACGTGCTGCACCGAAACACGTTTCCGCCTCGGTATCGATTGCTGATAGAGAGAGAGAGGCTACAAGGGCTGACACGGTCATAATATTTAAGCCAATAACCGTGTACAATCCCGCTAACCCAATAAACCTTATAACACTCGTGAAATTTTTCATCGTTACGTACTGTCAATCGACATTCCGTGCCCGTTGACCATCGGGTGCCGGCACTGCGTCCACGCACTTTCCGGTCCGGCGTTTCCACAACTCTTGCACAAACGTGCTCGATAACGACTCGTTCGCGATGTTAATCCTCGATATCGAGCGAAATCAATAAAAGAGAAGAAAAAAAAAAGCAACCTCACCACCGCAATATCACTTCGAAACGAAGCACTGCACGATTCAATTATATCGTTATATTTGTAACTCACTGAAAGCCACGCACTCTTGACCTATGTTCACTCCAATCACTTGTTCCACGAATTTTATATTTAACCCGATCTTATTCACAACGTCGTTTATCTAATTACTCGAGCACGATCTTGAATTTAATTCGACGTTATAAACGTCGTCGTGAACGTCGAGCTTTTTCGAAAAAAAAAAAAAAAAAAAGAAAAAAAAAGAAGAGAAAAATCACGATTTATTTTCACCAAGCAAATCGCTGCAACACCGCTGTTAACACCGTCAATGTCACGTTAACGACTCGGCGACTCGACGTAGCCAGCCAACGACGATTGTTTAATAAGCTGAAAACGACACGCGAATCCAGCCTCGGCAACTTAGCGACGTGAAACTCCCGTCATACTTTTATTTCGTGTGTGCGTCGCCGCGTACGAATGATGACTGGCCGTGCAAACCCAACTCCGCGGATATTACGCCATGAAATTGTGAAGCGGGCCAACGTGTGGCGGTCGCTTCACTTTTCCTTGGTCAAATCTATATTTAGTGGTGAATTCGATCGACCAACAGGAGGGGTGATAAGTTCGGGGTTGGTGGCAACCCCTTTTTCCCGAAACGAGAGCCTTCTATCCTCCCCCGCTGTGCAACGATGTTTTTCCTCCACGTTCGAAACGGAGTACAATAGAGTCGTTCACGTGAGGATCACACGAATCGATGGAAATGCGGACAGGATTACCTAATGTCGATTAATGACCCGACGTCGCTTGTGCGCGGAATTACGGGATACGCGTTGCGCAATCCGTCGCAACATGTTTACAAACAAAGTTATTGCTCGTAAATGGAAATGGATTCGCGTTGCTCGTTGCGAGATGCGAAGAAATTTTTCGAGTTATCCTTGTTTCCCTTCCCTTTCGATTTCGTTATTTTTCCCCCTCCCTTTTCGACGAGTTTTGATCTGACGCTCGAACGAACGGATTGGACGCGTGGGTGTGGTGCGGCCTTGGCATTCTTCGAGCTATCTTCGTTTTCTCCTCCTTTGGTTTCGTTTTTGAAATTTTGAAATTTCGATATTGGGTTAGTGACTGCTTATATATACGTTTTACGTATAATAATACAGATGGAGTGAATGAGTGAATTTTGTACGAAAAACTATATATAATGAAGAATTGTTAGGTTGGAACGTAGATTAAAAATGATTAAAAGTCTTTTATTAAAGTTTCGCGAAATGAATTTTTAATTGAGAATTATTGTGCAAAGAAAGCAGTGAAGACGATGAACATGTTAATATTTCTTGTTATTCGAATCTATACAATGAAATCTATATAAATTTTCGAAAATTTAACGAGCATTGTGAATAAAGTTTCAATTTTGAAGAGAACTCAGTTATGAGAAAATGAGAAGAAACTCTGTTCATATTATTGTAGAATTCAATGGAATCTGAATTGAAAAAGGAAGACTGTTGATTGAAATAATAATTGTAGATTATATTCTCGATCCTATTATCGTAATTAAATAATGTAGCGAAGTCCCTCTTTCTCTATCTCTCTTTTCTTTTTCTTCTAATTGGTTAAAATATTAATCTGATGCGATCATACAATTTTATGTCTATATTATAATCTTCGTTTCTTGATATTAATTTTATGACGCAATGTGTATTCTGATATCCTATGCACAATTATTTACAAGGTCTAATTACGTCATGGGATTAATTTGGGTATGATGGAACACAGTGGAACACGTAATGCATGCTAAATCGATACACCTTGTAATCCATGAGGAATCTATCGCTATCGAGAAACCTTACTCGTGTCCTTTCCTTTTCTTCCACGTCGTATTTCTACTTTACTATTTCTCCTTTTCTATTCGTCGATTACTCGACGAACGTTTGACGAACTTCTCGAAATCAAGTGTTCTCTCCTCGACGAGAAGAATAAACGTGCGTAAGATGAACGAACTTTCGACGAGTGAATTCAAAATTTACGAGTTACAGATTAAAATAATTAAACGGTTTGGCGGCTGTAGATAATATAAATTATCCTGTAAAGTAAAAATTGTGACAAGAAGAAGATATATTTATATAATAAATTGAATTATCGATATTTTCGATGCGAAGATAACCTGAAACAAAAAGTATGAAAGGATGGGGGAAGCGGATATTACCTTCCCTAGGGGATGGTAATATGCATAAGCAAGACACGCACATATATACACACGCATGCACATGCGTTGAAATCGCACTCAAGCGCACCGCGTGATCCCTTCGTCGATGATTCCGCAATTTAGCGGAACAATGGATAATTCTGTTTAGAATGAAAAATAGAAGAGATAAATTACATCTCGCGTTAATTTGATAATGAAAAAAAAATGGCGATAAAAAATAGATGGAGCAATTTATCAGGTAAATTTGGAATGATACTTTTAACGAGTCACGAAGCCTTTTAACGAAATTAAAAAAAAAATTATCCAATAAATCGTCCAGTAATCGATTAAAAAAGTTAAATCTCTGTATCGTGAAATATTTCCTAAAAGAAAGAAACAAGAAAGATTAATAACGGATAAATAACGTTTGTTTCTATAAAAAAAAGTTAAAAACGCGAACGAACAACGATTTAATGCTAATCGATATTTGTGCGTTATTTTACAGGAAATTACCTCGACTTCGAAAGAAACCCGTTCAAGAGATAGTTTGATGACACCGATGCAGTGTCTTTGGCAGTGCGACATTACAATAAAATGCATTTTCACTCACGATTCGACGGAATTCTGCAATTTATTCAGCTTTTCCTCGAGAGCATGAGCTGGAGCCTTTGTGAAGGCAGCCAGATATGCTAGAACAGGTCCTGATAAAGCTTTCACTTCCGCTGCCATCGGTTTCAATTTCTCCGCTTCCGTTACCAACTCCTATAATGTACGAATATAAAATTAAAATTAATAAAATCCGCAAAATAAACAATACATATTGTGAATACAATTAAATACAATTTTTTATTCGTTTCGTCAACTTTTATATCGCAACTCATTTATCAAATTTAAATGTAACTCGTCAACATACTGCTTTTCCTCAATTAAATCAGATAAATATTATGCAATACTTACATGTAGAGATTTGATGGTGTCGTGCAAATGTTGCTTAGAACGAACCACGGTGTCCAAAAGTTTGCTCTTCTCCTCGATAGCATTTACTTTAGTCTCGATAAGTGACCATTGCGCCTCCAGATCTTCCCAATGCTTGGACAACGCCTCGAGAGCATCCCTTCGCCCTTCCAACCCGGAAACCAACTCTTTCCATTCCGCACTGATCTCAGAAATCTGCGCCTCTATCGTTTTCTTGTTATTAGCGTCGGCCAATCGAAGCACTTCTTGACTGCGTTCGATCAATAGATCCAATTCGAATTGTTGATTCTGTATTGAAAAGGGGGGAAAAAAGAAACGCAAAATTTATCTTTCACCGTTTAATTATTGTTAAACGTTCAACGAATTACGAGAGCACGGTGCGGATAGAAGACTTGTGTAATTTCCACGGCAAACAGACGTCACGATTATCGACTAACCTGTATGTCATTGAGCGCGTGCGTGATCTTCTGGATGTTAAATTGCAGTCCAGCCAGAGTGGTGACAGGCTCGTCGGTGAATCTGCTCCTCGCTATCACGGCTCGAACTCGTTCCAGGGTTTGCGTGTAATCCCTCCAAGTTTCAGCGCCTTGTTCCAACCTGGCGCGTTGAGATTTCGCTGTGTTCAACGTGTTTTTCAATAATTGAGTGTGTTGCTGTTGCTCGGCGCTTAACTCCTCCTGCTCGGACGTGTTCAACGACGGCCAAATTTTGTCACCAGCTTGCTGAATTTGCTGAGACACCAATTCGCGAATCGATGGCTCGCTGCTGAAGTAGATCTGCAAAATACAGATCCATCCGTGCTAATGATAAAGTGAATTCTTCATTTCGAAAAAACAGTTGACTAGATAGTGATACTAGACAATATCGTTGACCTGTTTCGAATTAAATTTCTTTTATAAATTCTTCTGATTCTTTTACGATTTTGTACATCGAATAATACGTCTTAGAGCGATTCTGATTTTATTATGAATTTTTAATCTTAAGATGGATTATCATAATTTGGATCCATCGTTAAAGCTTATTTATTATTAATAGACTGTCATAATCGAGATCGGATTCAAGCTATATATTTGCAAAACGAGATACTTAAACGATTATAATTTTAGATTTCTGTCAAAAGTGTTTATTTTTTAAAACAATCAACGTGTCAGATTGTATCTCAGTCAATGCATTACTCTTGTAAATTGTCATAAATTATCGATATACAAACCTTGTGCTCCTCGAGATCGCTCAGGATGTTCTCGAAATCGAGTCCATCCTTGTCACTTTCCAATCGAATCTCTGCCTCGCGGACCCAACTTCGAAGTTTCTCGGTAAGAGCAGCATACTCTTGTCTCAGCTTCATATTGCTCTCCAAATAATTTCCACGCTCCTCCATTTCTCTGGGCAAAGAGGTCAACAGAGAGACAGCCTCGCTCAGCATTTCCTTCAACGAACCAGGCATTCCTTCTTCGTGAGGGACAGAATTCTTCAAATTTCTAATTCTATCGAGATGTTCGTTGACTGCTTCGCAGAGCTCGTTATGTTTTTGCAATTCTGCTTCCACGCTGATTGGATCTCTTTCTAGCAGGGGTCTAGATTTCACTTCTTTCTCTTTGTCCTCCAACCAATCCAGAATCTCAGCCAATTCGTTCGCCAGTCTCTTGTGTTCCGCTGCTGCCAATTCGTGCTGCTCCCTTTGAGTTTCCACAGCTCTTCTCAGACCTTGCAATTGTTGTTTTAGAGACTGTAGTTGTTCCGTTATATTGTTTCTATCTACAGTTGAACCTTCTGCTGCGATTTGTTGACCCTTGTCCGTTGCACTGGCGAGGGTAGCTTCGCATTCTTGGATCTTTAGAATTGCATCGTCGTACCTGAAAAATTGAAAATAGAAGTATTTAGAAAGTGATTCTATAATTTTCAACATTTTTCAAATTTGTAATTTTCGAAACTATTAAATAATCCCGAAATCCATGCAATTCAAATCCATAATGTAATTTTTCGCAAGTAATTATTTATTACGAATGATACATATATGTATATATATATTATTTGTCGTAATATATGTAAATCGTAATATATTTTGCATATATTTTCATATTTTTATATTATTTTATATCATTTTTACAATTTGTATAATTTATATATCGTTTTAAAATATATATAAAAATATATATCTTTATATTTTTCACTTTCCTTCCTTTTTTTCAAACAAATACTTCTTAATATCATCAAATTTTCGCTTTCGTGTTTTATTTTTATTTTTATTTTTATTAAAATATTGTTAGAAAAGCTTATAAATTATACGAAAGCGATAAATATATGGTTTTAATACCCGTGGCGCCATCTCGCGGATGGACGCTGGAAGCTCCGACTTGCTACCCGGGTTACAGAATAGGCAAGGAGGTATTCGTAATAAACAAGGAAAGCAACATTGTGCGAGAAGGACAGAGAACAAATTCCCGCTCACCGCTTGCGCATGCGCACTAACATTTTTTAACATATCGAGAATACTACATAGAAAATCAATCAATTACTACTTTTCTACGCAAAATTTCTGTACTTTTAAGATCGCATGTCAAAGCTAGAACCTCAAGCAACTTTCTCATATAAATTTTAGTACGATTCTCTTTTTAATTAATTATTTATTAATTATTAAAGCGTCATGTACGCACTGACGCAACCGACGTTCAATGCATTTTTCGCTAATTTCACGTTATTATAAAGGTTATTTATAAATATAAATATATACGTCAGAAACGTTGTTTCTTCTGCTACATTCATATATAATTTTTATTCACAAATTTGTTCTCGTTTGAACGAATAAATCGATTGTTCGTTGCTCGGTCACGAATTTGTCTTAATATCGCGCATGCGCAGTAACACATTTCAGTAAATTGAACACATTACATCGAAAATTAATTAATTTCTTGTTTTTTACTGAAAATTTCTACAATTTTAAGCTTGAATCTCAAAGATGGAACCTCAAGAAAGTTTCTCGTATTAATTTTAATAAGGAATCCCTTTTAATTAATTATTTATTAATGATAATCGTAGAGAATGTCTCAATCGCAAATTCTCGATCTATGACCGAGCAACAAACAATCGATTTATTCGTTCAAACGAGAACAAAATTGTGAATAAAAATTATATGTGAATGTAGCGGAAGAAACAACGTTTCTGACGTATATACTTATATTTATAAATAATCTTTATAATAACGTGAAATTAGCGAAAAATGCATCGAACGTCGGTTGCGTCAGTGCGTACATGACGCTTTAATAATTAATAAATAATTAATTAAAAAGAGAATCGTACTAAAATTTATATGAGAAAGTTGCTTGAGGTTCTAGCTTTGACATGCGATCTTAAAAGTACAGAAATTTTGCGTAGAAAAGTAGTAATTGATTGATTTTCTATGTAGTATTCTCGATATGTTAAAAAATGTTAGTGCGCATGCGCAAGCGGTGAGCGGGAATTTGTTCTCTGTCCTTCTCGCACAATGTTGCTTTCCTTGTTTATTACGAATACCTCCTTGCCTATTCTGTAACCCGGGTAACAAGTCGGAGCTTCCAGCGTCCATCCGCGAGATGGCGCCACGGGTATTAAAAATTGAATTTTCTCCCTTTCTCTAATATATAAATAAAATATATCTTATGTTTTATACATAATATTAAATTCTATGTATATTTTTATATTTTTATATGCCATTTATATGTTTATTTCGTAAATATTCCTGTTTTATCGTGTATACTTAATATATTTATTTTACATTTTTAAACTTTTATATCAGATGTATACTTTATTTTTTAAATTTTATGTTTTATATATATTTTTATATATTCTATAAATATTTTAAATATATTTTTATATGTAAGGAGAAAAACATAAGCATAAAGAAAATAAATACATCAAATTTCGTAATTAGATTTTAAAAAATGATAAAAATAAATGTATAGAATGGTGAGTAATTTTTCCTTTTTCCATAAATAAAATTTTTTTTACAAAACAATGCACATTTATAATCCATATTTACACATGTTTATAATTGTGTCTATTAAAAACATGAATTTCTATAATATTTGTACGTATTACATACGCTCGCGCATTTTAATGTGCATTTAATATGTTCTCCAATTAAAATTCTCCAAAATATATTTTTTAATTATATTTTTCATATTTCTTTAGATTAGAATCAGATATTTAATTTAATTTTAAGAAAATAATAATAAATAAAATATAAATACCTTTTGATCTTTTCCTCCGTCGTCTGGCCAGAATTCTCGATATCTCGAACGATCTCCGTATATTTGGCTATGAACGTAGTTATCTCTGTGATCAAAGCGATGAATTGTTGACGTAACAAAAGTAACTGGCGAAGTTTCGCAATTTGGGACTCTATAGCTTTCATCAGATCATCCTGCTGAGTTAATACCCCATGAAGATCGGCCACATTGATCGATTGTAAGTCGGACAATTTCGCCTTGTTCGTTTTCAAATCGTTCAATATTCTCTCGTACGCATCCAGCATGGCCTCGACGTCTTCTACGCGCGAACCAATAGGTTTGTTAAGCTCGTGAAGTTCTTTCTGAACGTCTGTCATGTATTGAATGGCTTCAGCCACTCGTGCCAATGATTCTTCGGCTTCGTCGATGCTCTTTTGAAGAGCGAGAGCTCTTTCATTTATTATACCAGCAACTCTACCGTGAGCTTCCTTCATGTTTTGTAATTGTTCGTTTAACTCGAGCTTATCGGCATCGGTCACGGTTGGAAGAATCGATTTTCCTTGTTGCATTAATTTCTCGATGTCGTCTGCGTATTCCTTTGCCTCTTTCTTCAAACGATCGTACTGGAGCAATAAATGGAAGATGATTGAAACAAGTTTTATATATTCATAAAAATATTAAATGGATTTCACGAAGAAAATATAATAAACAGTTGATATATTATTTAAATATATCTTACCTTAGCCAGCTGCTCTCTTAGAATATCAATACTTGAAGTTCTCAGATCCGAAGATGTAGCAACTTCAGCTTCATTGATCCATCTCTGGCACTTGTCTATTTCATTCTCGAAAGCCTTTCGCCCTTGAAGAAGATCCGCCAACGCAGCTTGTTTCTCTTGTGCTTCGCTTTTCAGCTCCTCGTAGTCTTTGTTCAATTCATCCAAGATCTTATTCAATCTGGCACGATCCTCTTCGCTACACTCCTTCAGCAAATTGTTTCCTTGTTTCAAAATGTCGTTCAGGTCTTTCTCGCTGAACGAATCGATATCAGTTTCCAATTCACCGTGTTGCACGATATCTTGCTCGACTTTCGACGCTTTTAGAGGAAGATAACCGCTCAATTTCTTCAAATTATTGCTCTTCGATTTGATCCAACTTCGTGCTCGTTCGAGATCAGCCTCGAACTTACGACGGGCATCAGCCGCAGCCGTGGCACTCGAAATTCCCTCTGTCAAAATTGTGCAAAGTTGGGACTGTTCACCACGCAGAGCTTTCGTTTCATTTTCCAGTTGTTGCTGCTCGTTCGACTCTAATTCGTTCTGCATGTTTCCTACTCGTTTCTCCAACGTATCAATCACCATTTGTTTTCCCTCTGCTTCCTTCAACATTGCCTGCACAATTCAATAATGTATATCATAGATATATTTTCAAAAAATGAATAAATATTCTCTTCTCTCTCGATTTTAATCCAATACTCTGAATCTTTATATTTTTTTTTATTGTTCCTTTATCATTAAATTTTATTATAAAATTTTCAAGAATTAAAAAAAAAGATATAAATATTTTTCCATTTATTCTTTTTTTTTAATTCTTGAAAATAAATATAAATAATTATAAAAAATTGGAATAAAAAGAAGTGAAAGATAATTTGCATTTGAATTTTATTTAATAGATAATTTAATTACCTTCAAGGCAAGAAGCCTTTCTTCTGCCTGCTTGCTGTCAAATCCAACAGGCTCGGACATCTGGGCTTGCTTCTTCTTTTGCTGAATCCAATCTCTATTCTCTTCGATCTCCTGCCTTGTAGCTTCGATACCTTGAGCAGTCATGTCCAGCACTTGCGCCTTCCTCTGCAGTTTCTTCCCAATATCAGCGTATCGTCTCTCCACTGATTTAATTTGCTCTTCTATTTGCTGAGAATCTAAATTGCTCACCGAATCCATCACTTGATCGCTCAAAGTCTTCACCTCGTTCAATTTTCCAGGTCCCTGGGATTCGAACTCGGTCGTGATCTCTTTCACGCTAGCTATCTTCTGTCCAATCGTTTGCCCGTTCCCTTTCTCGATAACGTCCACTTTTTTGGACAACGTATCCAACCACGATTGCATGTTTTGCACCTGTGTCCTATACTTCTGAATCAGATCCTGCGCCGCTTGTTTTCCACCAATGGCATCCGTCAACTCTGCCTCCAGTTTGTTCAATCCCTCCTCGATATCCTGATCGTCCTCGTGAAGAGACAGCTCTGTCAATGCGTGGGTTCGACGTTCTCCAACGTTTCCAAGCAAATCGTTCATAGCTTGCAATTCGGCAAGAGCTGCTTCGGATCTCAATTTCGCTGGACGAGACTTCCATTCGGCGCACAGAGCCCTTTGCTGGTTAATCCACGCACGGAGAACGTTCTTCTGTCGTGTTTGCTCTTCCAACTCGTTTAGAGCCTTGGTTACGTTCATCAAGTGTCCCTGTGCCTATTGAAAATTACAATATCTTTCAATATTTCGTATACATCTCGCATTTAAATTGAATTTAAACATTGGATTATTGGAAAATTAAATATCACATTTTGAGAATGTTAGATTTTTAAGTGTACATATTAATATCGATGAGGCGACAAAAATGAAGCAATAACAATAAATATATCAAATTAAATACAATACCTGATCGATCAATTCCTCTAATTTGTTTCTCACTTCGACTTCCCTAGCTGGAATTTGCACAGGCGGCGCATCCAGAGGACTTCCGGGTCTGGAGACACAGGCTACCGCAGCCTCGCAAGCCTCGACAGCCAGAGCAAGCCTCGTCTTCTCCCCTTGCAATTTATTGTGCAACGTGCGCGCATTTTCGAATCTCTGTTTCGCTGCGTCGAGAGTATCCAACGGCGCTTCCATTTCTTGAGCGATTTCCGGTTCGTACGCGTCCAAATTCTTCATAATACTCTCCAGAGTGTTCTCGTATTCCTGGAATTTGACCAACGATTCCGCCAATCGTTTCTTATTTGCAGTGCCGTGTTCAACAAAGAGTTGTAGCTCTCTTGAACATTTTGCAGTTGCGTTTCGATGATCGTCTTAATCTCGGGATTGACCGCGACGTATCGAGTGATCTGTCCATTTCCTTTCAACTTTAAATCGTTCAACACACTCGTGTAATTCTCGATTTCCGCGAGCAGGTTTTCATGCTGCTGAATTTGCGACACCGTTTGCTCCTTGTTCGTGATGTACAGAGAATTGTGGGCCATTAATTGGAAAGATATTTGCAACAACCATTTCTCTGTCTCTTGCAAGGCTGCGTGATACGCGTTGTATTCCTGCATCTCGTTCTCGATCAACCTCTTCCTCTCGTCCACGTTTTCGCTCAAATTCTCCCATCGTTTCAACAATTCCTTCGTTCTTTCGAGAGGCGTGTTTTTCTTCGCCAGTTTCGACAATTCGCTAGCTTCGTCCATTAAATGATCCAACTCGGTCTTCTTGCCGCGTACTTCCTCCTGGATGTGCTTATAACGTTCAAGCATGGTCTTCATATCGCCGAATTCTCCTTTTGTGTCTGGAAGATCTTGCATACTATTCTCCGTTTCTTCCAACCATCGTTTTAATTTTCCATGAGCTTCTGAATGATCGTCCCAACGATGCAACAGGGATTTAAGTTGAGCTTGAACGGTGTTCAAATCGATGTTGAGTTGTTCCCAGCTGGAAAGGAGTCCCGCCATGTCTGATCTCAATTGATCCTGTTGCTCTGGTACAGCTGTGTCTATGGCTTTCGTGAAGGCGGTTTGCAATGTTGATAATAAATGTTGACCCTCGGTAATTCTTGTTGCTACGATCTATAACAGAAAAGAAAATCAAATGATTTTTTAAAAAAAACTATAATTAATCCTCTAAGAATCCTTTCACGATTCGTGAAAATAGTTCCACGCATTTCCAGGAAAAAAAAATATAAGCTTCAATTGCAGACCCATTCATAATTTCTGCGCCATGTTAAACAAGTATTTGTCTTAAACATTTTGAATCCTTAATAATTAATCGAGATAAAACAAAAAGTGATTTTAATTTAACACAGTTTCTTTCTTCATGTTTCAAGTTGATTTTGATGAAAAAGTTCTTCATGTTTCAAGTTGATTTTAGCTTCTTCTTATATATTTTTTTTAATCAAATATACGAACATAGTTTATTTGAATAAAAATTCATAGTCTATTATTAATTGCATACCTTGATAGTTTCCAACTTATCCTTAGCCCATTCAGCATCTCCAACGCCCATACAATCTTGTACTGAGCCTCGAGCAATGCGCAACCAATCTTCCATTTCTTTCTTCGCCTTCAGGAACTCGGTGTGATCGGACAGATTCTTCTCCACCCGAGAAACAAGACCTTGCATATCGGTCAACAGAGACGTGTAAGCAGATTGCAATTGTACAGTCTTGTCACGAGCCCAGCTGCAAGCACTCAGCTCCAGCAAGGCCTCGCATTTGTCGTTCAGATCTTCCAAAACTGGTTTCTGTTGGATAGCTTCCTCCACGAGGCTTTTGCATCGGACCAAGTCCTCCGGAGTTTTATTCTCTTTCGATTGTTCGTCGTTCACCTTCTTCTGGAAATGGTCTATCCATCTTTTCATACTGTCTAACGCAGTTGTAAATTGAGACCAGTTGGCGATACAGTTGGACAAAGTCTTCTGGGACTCGTGACACTGAGATTGCAGAGATTTCCAGTTTGCTTGTAGTTGTTTCATGTCCTGTTTGATGGTTCTTGACCTTCTGGACCTGTACTAGCGATCACACCATCGCTGAGTTCGATTACCTTCGAGATCAAGCTCTCTCCTTTGGGAAGGGAAGCTATGATCTGGTTTACTTTGTTCTCTCGTTCAATGATTCGCTCCTTCTCTCCATGAGTGTCGCAGTTTTGTTGAAGTTCCAGTTTTGTATGGCGAACCCAATCCGCTGCTTCATTGTGAGCTTGCTGGAACTTTTCGTGATCGTTCACTTGCTCTTCCAAATTCTAAAAATAAAAATATGAATACTTAAAAAACAATGACAAATGACAAAAATTTTTATTTCATTTTTGCCTCTAATCCCTGTATCATGTATTTATATAGAAGATACGTACTTTAATCTTTTCAGCGATCAATTTGGTCAATTCATCGTACTTGGCAATAGTGGATTGATAAGGACCAATAGGTATACTGGAATCTTCAGCCAAACGAGCTTTCAATCGGTCTACGGTTTCACCATGACCTTGAATATCCCTCTGAACTGTCTTATATTTCTCTAATACCGCTCGTTTTTCGCTCAAATCGTTCTTGTACATTTCACCTGGTTGAATTTTGCCCTCGATCTCTTCGATCCAGTCTGTAGTCAACCGATGAATTTTGTTCAATTCCTCCAATGCGCTTGCTCTCGCGGAAAGCTTTTGTCTTATGTCTTCCACATTGACCAATAATCTCTCAAACTCTGTTTTCAGATTCTCTGTATCTTCTTGAATCTTTGCGGCGCCGTTCTGTTCCGTGTTCATGATCACTTTTTCTTTCAGTTCGAGAGCATAACGTAACTTGTTCTGGCCTTGTTCCAGTGTTTGTCTGATGGCTTTGCAAGTGTGCAATTTATTGTTCACCTCGGTTAAAGTGCTTGGAAGTTCTTTACACTCGCTCAATTTGTCACGTGTTCGTTCTATCCAATCTTGACACTCTTGATACAACGTATTATGTTGTTGATGTTCCTGAATATGAGAAAAGTAATACGTATATGAAATAAAATGGGAAATTCGAGTCTCTCAATCTATAAAAACAAAGCGATTCACGAAAAATTATGGAAAATAAAATATACCTGATAATGTAACTCGAGACGTCTCATTATTTCTTTAGCCAAAGATAGAAGAGCATTATATTTGGTCGTCAATTGAGTAATAGCATTCGAAATTCTAGTATCCGCACAAGTCTCCAGCAACATCTGAGCTTTCATATTCAATCGATCTAATTCCTTCTGCCAGTCGAACAAAGTTTGTAAGTGAATTTGGAACTGTTCGAGAACATTCTTCTTCTCTTCCAAACTATCTTGAAGTTTGTTAAACGACTGCACTAATTGTTCGGTCTGTGTGAGCCATTCGGTAGCTTCCGAGAATTGATCCTCGTATTCTGTCCATTTCACTATTCCAACTTCCAACAAACTCTTGGTGTTGTTCAGGGAGTCCCTGTAAAAAAATTATAAATCATCAGTATATATTCTTAAAATATATTCCTTTATTCCTTAACTTGTATCTTCGCGTCACATTAATCACAATAATACTTACACATAACTATCGTACTCTTCTTGCAACAACGCCACTTCCTCTTCAATAATCTCTTTGTCCTCCTCATCCGCGATCTGGCATGCCGCGTTTCCTTGCTCCAAGGCGTGTTGCAATTTCTTCTGACCCTCTGGCAACTCACTTTGCAATACCTTCAATTGAGTGATTTTGTTTGCCAACGATTCCTTATCTCCAGTAGGCTCGGAGCATTTACCAAGCCTCTCCTTAGCAGCTCTTATCCATTGTATAAATTCATTTCCACTGTCTATAAACGCTTGATGTTGCTCTACAGTCTCCTTCTGTTTGGCATACAATTCCTGAGCTTGTTTGCTCAATGTTTCATATTTGATGGAAATTTCTGTTGCTGGTGTGGCTTGTCGAAGATCCTCGGCCTTCGTTGTAACCGATTGAATCATCGGTTCAAACGCCACTATATCTTGAACGATGCTGTTCGTTTGCCTGAGATTCGCCTTCCTTTCTCCGATAGCCAAGGAACTCAATCCAGCCAGACCCTTTCTAGCCTTGGATACCTTCTGTTCACAGACTTGTTGCAATTTAGCTTCTCTATCGTTGATCCATTGCTGCAATTGCAGGTAAGACGAGCTATAATCAGCCCATTGAAGAAGACTCGTTTCTAAACGCACTTTCGTCGTCGAGATCTTCTTCACCAATCTTTCCCAATCATTTTGGATCTCTTTCAATTGAGCATTGATCTCTTCTCGCCCATCTGATCGAGTGTTTCTCATCACTTTCTCACCACAATTCACCGTCAGATGGACCAAGTTCTGACCCTCTTCCCGTTTTCTCAACAACTCTTGGATATTGTCCAATCTATTCTGCAATTCTTCTCTGCTGCTAGTCGACGCTGCTTCTGTTCCCTTTCGAATAATTTGTTTCGCATTCTCGATCCATGCACGTGTTTTTTCCAAATTAGCTTCGTATTCTTTGTGTTGAGCTAGATTAGTTTCGACTTTGTTCAGGACATCCTTGGCAAGATTCACCTGAACCTGATAACGCGAGTTTAAGTGTCGAAGTTGGTTATTTATATAGGTGTCCAAGTGAGACGAAAGTAGACTGGACGCTGTCTTGTTGAATTTGTCGATTTGTTCTTGCCCTTTTAGCAAATTCTCCAATATCTCTTTCACTTCTTGCACCTGTTTTTCCTTCTCAGCTACATTTGGTAATAGAGAATTCTTTTGCGCCTTTATGAGAATATCAAATTGCTGCAACCAATCGCTTAATCTTTCGTACTCGTCCTTGTAATCGCGCCATTGGCTCACTGTTTGTTCTAATTGATCCTTTTGTTGCTTGATTTCTATGAAATAAATGATAGAAAAGAAATTATATATTTAGCAAATAAAAAGAAAAAGCCTGAAATACTTACCTCTGAAAAGTTCTTCGAAACTTTGAGTCAAAGCTTTCACTTCGTTCTTTATAATTTCCTGACCTTGAGGACTCGTGCTTGCGCATACAACCTTCCCAGTATGCTGAAGATGTTCCACTAACAATTCTCCTTGAGCCTTCTTGTTCAACAAACTTTCCAGTGGAGCCACAGCGTTTTCGATAGCCAATTTATCGCTTAATGGTCTCTGCTTCATAGATGGAATCTTCTCACGAGCTCGGCTCAACCAATTAATAATATCATCGTGCGCTTCCTTGTATAATCTATGATCCTTGTATTGTTCTTCACGTTCTGTTAGCAAGGACTTGATTTTTTCAAACAATGTATCGAATCTGTTCAGAATGCTCTGTGCCTGTGATGCAGCTAACCCTTGAGGTCCACTGGCAATCATCTCAGCGACCTTGATTTTCAAACTATCGACTTCAATGTTCTCACATCGAACCTTCTCCTCCAAAGCCTTAATACGTTCCAGTTGACATCTCTTTTCAGACATGGTAGTTTGAAAAGGCATGAACTCGTTCAAAGCAGACTGCATGTAGTCCACGGTTTTGTTCATCGATTGTATCTGTTCTAAAAGACCAGCCCATTTATTGATAGAGTCATCCAAATTAGTTTTGGTCTCCAACATCTTCGAGGCCAGAGCACTCCACTGCTCTTGCAGCTTTCCAACAGCATCGTTGATAGCCTTGTGTCCAGTTGGAGCCGTATTTGCCAAGACTGCCTGGCTAATTCCACAATACCTTGTACTTTGGCGAACCCATCTTCCTTGTACAATAATAAGTCTTGCACTATCTCCATCTTGTTTTCCAAATCTTTCTGAGAGGATGCACCTAAGTCAGAGCAATAGGCCAGCTTCTTCCTAATGTCATCTAACCATCTAGTACATTCTGCCACTTGATTATCGAATTCCTGATGAGTAGTCACATATTGATGCCAACGACTATTCAAGTCTTTCACTTTGTTAGATATTTGTTGATACTTGATGCTCAACTCCGACATATGAGTGGTACGAGACGTAATATTCTTGTGAAGTTGTTGAGCCTTTTCGGTAACAGCGTCTATCTCCAATTCTTTCGCACGCACCTGTCCCTGAAGAGTTCTTAAAAGTTCCAATTGGTCTTTCTTTTCCTGCAAAGTAGCCTTCAAATCCACCGCATGAAGCTTGGTGTCAGTTTCTCTCATCCAAGCTAAACATCGTTCTTTCGACGTTTCGAATTCGTTCCATTGTTGAAGCTTATTCTCCAATGTTTCTATAGTAGACTTCACCGCAGTGACCAGACTTTCCCACTCTTGCTGTGAGGAATCGATCTGGGATCGAATGTTGATCTGTCCAGACTCCAACGTGCCTGGAATCACTTTTTCGCCTAATGTTCTTATCTGTTGCACTCTTGGTTTATCCTCTGGTAAACTCTGCAATAAGTTCCTCAATCTGTCCAGATTAGTGTGAAGAGATACACGTTCGAGTTCCGTGTCACCCCAAAGAATAACCGCGTTGTGGGTCGCATCTATCCACTCGTGGGTATCCAGAACAGCCTTGCTGTACTGTTGATGATCACTAACGATGCCTTCGTATCTTTCGACAAAAGCAGCCGCACGTTTCAACACGGTTGCGTGTCTCTCGCTCAATTTCTTCAGCGTTTGATGCACCTTGTCCGTGGAATCCGGTAAATTGTCAGCCTTGTCTCGAAGATCGAGTAAATCTTGTTGATGGGATTGAATATCGTGCAAAAAGGAACGATAGATCTGTAATTGCGCTCGTTTCTCGTCCAAAGTGGTTTTCAACTCGATTTCTGGTTTCAATTGAGTCTCGACAGTTTTCAACCATTTGTCGAACGATTCATTGGATTCGTCAAAACCGGACCAACGAGAAATCTTCGATTGCAATTCTCGTTCAGTAGAGGCAATGCTGTCGTAGAGTTCCTCGAAGGCTCGTTGGAGGTCTAATAATTGTTGGCGGACGATTTCTCTGCCTTCCATGCCTGTGGTAGGATACAAACGTTCTCCAGCTTCGACAGTATTATTGATCAAAAGAGTTGCCGAAGATTGTCGGGCTAGAAGGTCTTTTAAGGTTGCCACGTTCGAAGTTAATTCTTGACGAGTACCGCTGAAGTCATCCTTGATTGATTGATAAGTAGTTCGTGTATTTGCTAGCCATTCGGAACATTGTTTGTAACGTTCAAGATAGGCTGCGTGGTCTGCCACTGCTTGTTCACATTTTTTAACTAATTCCTATGGTTCAAATGAATATTTTCAGATTTTATTAATTTTTATTTAGGATGAAAGGTATAATTATGAGAAGAAAAATGTTCGAAATAACTGAACTAAGTGATTATACGAGATTTTATGTCCATTCAAAATAGAAAAAAAGATGGTTACAAAAGTAGATTAGAAAATGTAATAATAAGTCAAAATTTTTTTAAATTTCTTATACTTCTATAGTAAAATTTTATATAAAGAAAAGTAAAAGATGAAGAAACAAAAATAACATTTTTGATATTTACTTTAGCAGTCGCTTGAATAGATTGGAACCGAGAGGTGATTTGTTGGACACTGGCAGAAAATCTTGTTTCACCGCTAATTTGCATCAGCTCGGAAGATTCGTCGCTCATCTTATCGAATTCTGCCTCGTTTTGCCGTAGATTCACGATCAACATCTAGAAATAGAAATATTATTGAAATTTCATAATATTTGATATAAAAAACATGGTTTATTTATATTTTGTTTTTATTTTCATAATACTAATCAAACTAATAAAATTGATCGTAATGATTAATTGGTAATTTTCTGTCGTTCTGAAAATACCTTGAATTCATAATAATAGAGTTAACAATAGGATACGCATGTATTTGTCGGTGTTCATGTATGTAGTTAATGCGAATTCAATCAATCAGTCATGGATTTTTTCACTTGTCATGACAACGCGATATACGAGGTTGGAAACATGATTTTTCGATTAAGCGTGCTTTAAACAACACGTTTACATGCATCGAAGTAAAAACACGAGATAAAAAAAAGAATTATGCAAAATCAGTATATGTTAAAAAAAAACAGTAACATATCGGAAAAAAAAAGTAAGTATCACAATGTGAAGATGTAAGTGTATAGTGTATCGAATTAATGAAACTTACTGATATATTTGTATAAAATAATCTTTGATACATCATTGAATTTAATTCACACTAAATATTTCAATCGTTTTATATTTCATTCGTTTTGAAATATAGAGAGAAGAAAAGGAAAGAGAGAAAAAGATCAAAAAACTTTTAGAGTATAAAGATGAAAATGATAGAATAAAGATAAAAGAAGAAAGAGAAAAAAGAGAAAAAAAGAGATAGACCAATTTACAAAAGCGTTCACAATCCTGTTCGAATAAATTTTTTCCATGTTTCTCTTACTTGGTCCAGGTGGTCTCCTAGGGCCACCAGTTCCGTCACTTCCGTGTCCCACGACAAGGCGGTTTTTTGTAGTGCCTAAGAAAGTTTTCCAAAATACAATGTCTGAACTATCGTTATACCATTTCATCTCTTTCGTATCTTTTCCTCTTCTTGATTAAAAATGAAAGAAAAAGAACTTCGCTTCGCGTAAAATGCGATTATTTAAAAAAAAATGTGTTCATAGTATGACTTTAAAAAAAATTAATTTTTTAATGAAACATGTAATAATTCGCTTTTAGAACATATAATGTGACATATCATGTATATTATAAAAACATACGATGTTAATATAATTTTTAAATATTCTATATATTACCTGATACTTTTCAAGTTGTTCTTGTTTCTCATCGAGAGTGTTCTTCAGAGAATAATTTTTCAAAGACGATTCTGCATCTGCCAACCAAGCTAACAAACGTTCTAAAGAGTTCTCGTATTCGCTCCATTGTTGGATCCTCTCCTCGATGCATCGAATAATATCGTTTACAGCTGTGGTGAACTTTTTGTGTTCGAATCTGTTACATATAAATTAATTTAATTAGAAAAATTTTTTTAATTTATTTTGATTCAAATATAATCCAGTATAAATCTTACCTTAGCGTAGCCAAGTCTCTTTCCATAGATTCTAATGATCTGGGTGATAAATTATGAGCACTCTGAGACACGTGTTCACTGAGAATGTCTAATTTCAATTCTCCTTCCCTTTGGCCATCTTGAAGCTCCATGATCTTCGTCAATTGAATTTGTAAAGCAGCTTTGTTGCCAGTATAGTCGCTGTAGTTGGCTAATTGCTCCCATTGTTGCTTCTGGTAATCTTGATAAGATTTTTGTAGATCGTAGAATTGCTGGAAAGTATCTAGAAGAGTTTCCAAATTGAATATATTTTTCTGTGACATTTCGACCAGATCCTCGTATCTTCCGGAAACTGAGGCAGCCTTTTGTTGAGCGTCCGATGGCGCCTGAGACGTGTACGATAGTGCATTTGCTTTTTCTAAGACTCCTTCAATGATACGTTTATAAGCCAAAATTTCTTGGTGCATTCCCTATAAAAAAAATATTTCGTTAAGTAAAATATTGAAAATATTTTTAATATTTCTTGTTTCTTTAAGAATTTTTCTTACTCATTATCAGAGTCATAGTTACCTTGCTTTTCAGCAATTTGGATTTAATTTCTTGAAGAGAAGACCACGTGATCGTCGAATCCTGTTTCACCGATCTCTCCATGGTATCCAACCAAGCTAAAATTTGCTGCAGAGTCTCTTGATAATTGGTCCATTGCAAGGATTGAGCATCTTGTTTCTTCTGTTGCTCGGCTATGCCTTCCACAAGTTTATCCCATCGTTCTCGAGCTTGTCTCAACTCATGGCGAATAATTTCTCTTCCTTGAGCCGACGTATCAGCAAGAATCCTCTCTCCAAACGATATCAAACTTCCCAATCTATGTTCACCTTGTTCCTTTTCAGCCAACAATATCTGCAGACGAGATACTTTCTCTTCCAGATTTCCACCTGTCTCATCTTTCTTTAAACTGGCTAAACTCTGTTCCAATTGAGTCAACCAAGCATTTACGACCTTTAATTTCTCTTCATACGTTCTATGATCATCTACAACGCTCTGACATCTAGTCACTACTTCTTTACTGAGCACGTGCAACAATTGATATCTGAAATTTTTGATCGAAAAAATTAAATTTGAAATGAATTTTAGATTAAAATTTAAAATTTCTTAATAATTTTGTTAAATATCTAAATAATAAGCAAATTTACCTATTGCTTATTTGGGAGATCAAAGGCTTGATACGCTCAACTCCACTTGCATGAAGCAAACTATGAGATTTATCAATGAACTCGTCTATCTTCAATTCTTCCTTTAATATGGCATCACGTTTCTCTTTCAATGCTTGCAAACGGGCTTCCTTATCGTGCAAAGTAGGCTGCAATTGTTGATCCCTGAATGCAGCTTCCATCGTTGAGAACCATTTTGTGTGCGTTTCCAATTTATCTTCGAAATCTTGCCATTTTTGTAGGGCTGTTTTTTGCTTATCTTCCACTGATTCTATATAGAAAAAGAAAAGATTGAGAAGAATGTATTAAATATTTAAAAAAATAATTTGACGACTTCTTTTACCTATTTCACTTAAATATTGACGAAGATTGCCTTCCAAAATAATGATCTCCTTATTAATAGCATCCCATCCTTTCGGCGCAGTTCTCTTAATAACCGTATCGCTAAGTTCCTTTAATTTTCCAAGCTGCTCAGCACCCTGCATTTGATCATCCTTCAATATAGCTAAAGTGGTAAGTCTTCTGCAAATATCCGTTCTTTCTCCAGTCATATCGTTGCACTCAGCAAGCTTATCTTTTTCGCCATTCAACCAATCAGAAAAGTTCTTCACTTGTAAATTAAACCTATGATGCTTCTCCACGCAATCATCCAGGTTTTCTAACAAATCCTTCGATTTTGCCACGATGTTGTGGAACAATTGTTTGATAGATGGTAAAAAGACATTCAAAGAAGTATCTTTGGTCTGATCTACCAATTGTTGTGCCTTGTCGCAAACAGACTCTACCAAAGATTGATGAGACATGATTTCTTGATGCATGATCTTGTGATTCTGCAACTGTGCTCGTTTCTCCTCCAAAGTACATTTCAATTCTGTATGTTGATGCATCGCGCGTTCAACATCTCGAAGCCAAGCTGTCAATTGCTCATGAGATAAAGAGAATTCGGCGAATTGCATTAGACATTGGTCTAACTTTTGCATAGTGTTTTGTAAATCTTCGGTAAATCCATCCCACAAGGTTCTCAAATTTCTCAATTGTTGTCTGATGATTTCTCTACCATCAGGCGACGTGTGAACGTATAATTTTTCTCCAAGATCTATGACAGATTCGAATCTAGCGTTCTCTTTCGTTCTAGTATCACCCAAGTCTCGAATGAGCTTCTGTCTACTCTGCAACACGGATAGATCACCCACGATCTCACTGTGTTTCTTCAGTTCCGATTTAATATCCGTGATCCATTGCAATAATTGATTATATTTCACATTGAAAGTGTTGTGCTCTTTCACAAATTGTTCGTATCGCATCACAGCTTCCTTTATTTGATTCTTGATAGCCTGATATTTAGTGGTTTGTCTCGAGACTCTTGTAACTAGATCTGCTTCAGCTTCGATGCTCTGACTCTTCTCAATGGCGGCATTAAATTCAGTTCCTTTCGCAATGATACTTTCTTCCAAGGACTTCAGCTTCTGCAAATGAGCTCTCTTTGCTTCTTCCGTACTCTTCAAACTTTGATCCTTCAACTGGGTCTCCATCTGCTTGATCCAGGCCTCCAAACCTTCTACAATCTTCTCAAACTCGGACCATTGATTGAACATATGTTTCAATTTATCTCTAGCTGCCATACATCGCTTCAAGAAGTCTTCCCACATTTTCTTTTGTTGCTCAAAATTGGATAACAAGGCTGGATGACCTGGCATAGAAGTTTGTTCCAAGACAATATTCAATTGTTGGTTACAATCAGCCAAAATTCGATCCCCTTCTGCTTTCTGTTGCAAAAGATTCTCGATGGTGGTGATTTTACTCTGCGCTGTTTCTCGTTCAACTGAAAAGTCCTCAACTATCGGTGTTCCTTCGTTGATCACTGTGTTAATCCAATCTCGAGTCTTCTCAAACGTTTGAAGATAAGCCTCGTGATTAGAAACGTGTTTTTCCGCTATATTAATTCGTCCTTCGACCTCGTTGGATAGTTTCTCATAAGCCTCAATTACGTTGCCTAACATTTCACTCGCATCATCATCTGGTGCTGTACTTAATCTATCTTGAAGTTGTTGAAGAATATTCTTGTGAACAGTAACGTCCTGTGCCACGGCCCTATACAAATGAAGAGCTAGCTTTTTCTCTTGTAATGTTGGCAGTAAATCTTGCTTTTCTCCTAATTTATTTTGAGCATCTGATAACCATTGTTTCACTTGAGAGAATTTGTCTTCGAAGGAAGATCTATGCATCATGTCGCTTTCTATTTTTTTATAAATTACGTTAGAACGATCCGCCATTGCATCCACGCGATTACGGAAGTTTCTCAATTCTGTTCTAATCATTTCTCTTTGATCTGGTGTAATTCTAGCGAATAAAGCTTCGCCGGCTTCCGCTGTCTTGTTCAATATAGCTTGTCCAACTTCTCGTTCCTCGGCAAATGTTTTCAACTCTTTCAAACGTGATTGGTAGAAAGTTATAGGTTTTGGACCAGTGATTTCATCATAGGCTTTTAATGTTTTCTCCGCGTTTTCGATCCAAGCTTCAAGCTTCTTCTTGTTAGCCACATATTGATCCCTGTTTTCTTTCAATTCTCGAAGTCTTTCCAAATGTTGGGCCAAGAACTTTAACACGTAATCGTAACGAGTGTTCAAATGATTGATGTATTGATTTACTCTTGATTCAGAGCTAACCCTAGTGATATCTTCCGCCAAAACGGTCAAATCTTTCAGTTCGCTTTGATATTCCATCACACTTTTCTGCATTTCGGTCATCTCTGCGATTTTCTGCTCGATATCGTCCAAATTGAGCAAAGTGGAAGCCTCTGCTCTGATTTTATTCTCATTCTCCTTCAGCCAGGAGAGCACGTTCTCGGAAGTGAGTTCGTAACGTTGCCACAGAGCGATGTTTCGTTCGAGATCATTCTTAATTTTATTGTAGCTGCTTTTCAATGACTCCAAATCAACTTCAACCTTGTCACGATCTAATTTCAAGGCGGCCATAGTTTCGGCACTTTCTACGGATGCTAGAAGTTTCAATGAGTTGTCAGCGTCCTCCTTTCTAGTTATGCAATCAGCAATTCCAATTTCTACGTCCATCAATGAAGCCATTTTCACCTCCAAGTTGTAACGATCACTGCTCTGCTCAGGCTCACACCAAGCTACTTTCTCTTTGAGCGTCACAACCATACGTTGAAGAGCTCCGAATTTTTCGTGATATAATTTAGTCAAGAATGCTACCAATGTTGCTATCACTTTATTAGCGTGATTGGCCACACCATCTCTTCGAAGCTGAAGTGCTTGCAATTCTTTTGGCAAACTCGATCTGGAGATACTAGGATATTCTGAAGAAATCTTTGTCAATGTTTCTTCAACTTTAGACAGAGTATAGTCACATTGCTCTAATTCTGTCTTCAATTCCTGACATTTGTTGATACGACCAAGAATCTTGGTGTTCTCACCAGTCAAATCGTCACACTTGATTATATCTTCTCTAATCTTTGAGATCAAGTCGCCACATCGCTTCATTTCTTGTCTAATTGTCCTTTCTCTCTCATTCAAAGTAGATGTTAAAGATTCTAATTTTTCCGCTGAAGTTTTAACCACTTTGAATTGGTCATCTAATAACTGATGCAAGGAATTCAAAGTAGGAATATCAGAATTATTGTTCAATTTTACGAGTTGTTCTATTTTCGTCACGATATTTTGATATACTTGCTGATAACCAGGCAGCTCTTCTCTATATCTTATCAATCTTACTTGGCAGTTTTCAGCATCCATTAAACGTTCGAACGCAGTGGTCAACGCTTCATTTGTATTAGTGAGCCACTTGATGAGTTCAGACTTCGATTCTTCTATCTGTTTCCAAATGATCACCTGAGTCTCATAGGCTTGCAATTTCTCACTGATATCGTTGTAAGTATCTTGGTATCGTTGTCGAACTTCTGTCAAATCGTTTTCGATTAATTCAGAATTGAATCTAGGCATGAGAGATGCTTCTTTCGTCAATTGCTGTGCCTTCGAATCCATTTTATCCAAGAAATGTCTGCCTTTCTTCAGCGCATCCAAAGCTTTCTTGTGCTTCTCCAAAGTAATATTCGCTTGAGTAATATCATAAGATATTCCTTTCACCGATTGACACAAATTATTTGCATCTTTGATAGATTTCTCTACCTTTTGTCTGGCTTCCTCGTAATCTTTCCAGTCTGTATTCATATCAGCATATTTCTTCCTCTGTTCTCGAAGAAGCTCGTTCACCTTCTCCCAATTAGCATCGACAGAGGATAGAACTACTTGAATATTGGTCGTCGATCTCTGATCCTCTTTCATCAAGGAACTACCTTCAAAGTGGAGGATCTCTTTCTCCTGTTCCCTCTTCTGATGTTCTTCGATTAATTGATCGATTTTTTCCACAGCAGGGGCTAATTGTTTGCATGAGTCAACGTTGTAAACCGTCTCTTGAAGAGCAGTTTGCGTATTCAATATCTTCTCAGTGATCGTTTGCTGCAATGTTCTGAAATTATTCCATCTGGCACCAAGATTTTCTAGTCTATCGCGTTTCGCGGATATCTCATTTTGCAGAGACAATGCCTTGTTTTCCAAGTCGATCAACAAACCTGACGCGGAAAGAGGTTTTCCCTGTTTGTCTCTAATTTGTATTCCAATAGCACTGTCAGGCAAAACATGCTGTTTCCACGTTTCAATTTTATCATAGATGGTTCGTAATTCGGACGAAAATCTCTCCAAATCGGCAATGGTAGGCTTTCTAGCTTCAGCTTCATACTTACAATGGCTCAACTGAGCGTTGGCATCGTTCAACCAACTCAATAGCTCTATCCATTTCTCCAATCCTTTCTTTTTCTGTTGCAAATCATCTCCCAGGGCCTTGTACTTCTTCTCTAAATTGGTATAAGTATCGACCAAGGCAACTGTCGCTTGCATAGATCCTTTGGGACATATATCTTTCACCTCTTGACAGATAGCTTCCAAGCTTGGCTGCTTTTCAGAATGTTCCTGGATATACGCATGCACGGCTTGAAGATTCGTGTCAACCGTATCGACAGTAGCATCACTGATCTCAGCGATATTGGATCTCAGTCGCGACATCCAATTCTCAAAATCAGTGATTTTCATTTGAAATTCTTGGCGAGCTAACAACGAGTCGGATACACGATTGATCTGCAATCTGACCGTATCAGCCAGTTTGCTGACTCTAGCTTTAATGTCTGAGACTCGAGCTTTCAAATTAGTCGCTCCTTCCAAGGATAATCCGTGACTAATATGATCAGAAACCTGAGTCAGCGATATCAACTGCGCTTGATGATCAGATATAGTCTTGTTGAAGTCCTTCAATCGTGCCAGTTCCTTTTCCAGTACTGATATTTCGGGTGTCTCGGCGTTTGGTTCTACGAGCACCGTTCTCTCCGATCTTTCCAACCACTCGTTGAATTCTTTTATCTCAGATTCGAAACTGTTCCATGAAGTAACCAATTTGTCCAACTTCGTGGTCGTTTGAACTGCTATATCATGCACAGCGTTCCAACGAGTATGAACGGCATCCACTTCGTCGGAAGCTGATGTTTTTCCTGTTATTCGTTGGCTGATCAAGGATAGATCTTGGATCTGAGGAAAATGTTGCTGGCATCGTGTTTCAAATGCTCTGGCTGTTTCTAACATGTGAGCTGCCTGAGCTAGAGTGGTTGGTTTACTGCCTATAGTAGCTGCTTTTGATTCTGCTTCTTCGATCCAAGGTTTTAGCTCTTGAATACCTTTCTCGTACTCTTTCCAGGTTTGTAAATTTTGTTCAGCTGTTTGACGTTGAGCTACAATGCTCTTCTGAAGGGTTTCGATGCTTCTTTCGAGAGTTATGATATCACTGCGCAATTGCTTGGCTGGAAGAGTATCAACACTACCTGAAAATGCGAGAGAATTATTTATAATTTTGAAAATAAATAGAAAATTTACACAAATGTCAGATTATCGTACCTTTCACGAGTTTCTGAGATTCTTCTTCGAGGAATTTCAACGTTCTGGTCCTCTCTATAATTTCCTTCTGTAAACTCTCAGTTCTGTAGACCATCTCTTCAGGAGTTGTTGCCAAATTTTCAGTATCTGCAATTGATTGCGGAGCACTCTGTTGAGTCCACAATTGCAATTCGTTCAATTTTGTTTGGAATTTATTCCATCTGGTACTGTGTTCCTGCAGATAAACTACTTTCTCTTGGACAGTCTTCAGAGTGGTCTCCATTTTTTTTCGGTATGAATGATCTCTTTCTTCAACACTTCTTTCTTTTCCGGTGCTGCGACCTCTGTCAAATGGCTATACGTCTCTTGCAACTTTTTCAACAACTCCTCGGCAGATTTTCTCAAAGTGGAACTGAAATCTTGTTTACTCTGTAAATCGGATGATACTTGTGAAGCGTCATAATAAGTAGTCGATTCGATTTTTCTTAATTCTTCTTCAGCTTGTTCGATCAATTTCAAAATCTCCTCTTTCTGCTGCAGATAAGTGTTCCACAACTTTTGCGAACTCTTCAGAGATTTCAAGGTCTCTACACTTTGTCCATATGTATCATTCCAGCTGGATTCTAGTTGTTGTACCTCCAAGGACACGAATGGAGGAGCGTGTTGATCTTTTAAAAGATCCTTGCCACGTTGTAGCATGCTCACGATATTTGATCTCTGTTGTTCTAACTGACTAAGACGGCTCTCTTGATGAGTGACCGCGGTCTTCAAGGTCTCTGGAGTTTCTGCTACTACATCTATCTTAGATTGATCTTTGACTTTGTGCAAAAGAGTGCACACCTCACGAACTTCCTTTCTATAAGTGTAACTCTTTGAATAAATATCAGTTTTCGTCATAGTAATTTCTATTGTTGGTATCAGATTCTTGTAACGAGTGATCAGCTGTTCTAAACGATTCTGCTCTGAAAGAGCTTCGTGATCAGAACGATTGGAAGTCAGGCTGTCGAGGGTTTGGACCAACCATTTCATTTCTTCGCGCTTGCTGTCTGCTTCTCTGCATATTTTCTACAGAACAGTAAAGAAAAAGTTGTAATACAATATATACTTTTTCTTTTTTATGAATAACTATAAGATGAGCCTCCTTATAGAATTTCTATCGTGAAACGTGCGTGATTATATTTACCGTTAAAACTTGAACCTATCCAGTGTGAGCGATGCAAGGAAAGAACGTAGAAGAAATATTTAAATGCGTATGATGAAGAAATAGATGTTTTAAATCGATAATGATTCGCAATGACTTATTTGAAAATTCGAGATATTCTTTAAAAATGAAAATGAATGAAAATATTTCTTACCTGGAATATCGTTTTCTCTGTCTCGAATTCCTCTAGAGTATTCACCTCGTGTAATATGGTCCTCAAATTACTGTCCACGTGATCCATCCATCGTACCATTTCGTCGAATCTGAAATGATAGTTCGTATGAATAAAAATTGATGAAGAATAAGAAAGTTTAGTAAATTCTATCTTTATAATGCTCACTTCTTCTTGTAAGCAGCCCATTGCTCAGGCACTTGTTTCAGTTGTTCCCTCAAACGTTCTACTCTCTGAGCAGAATCCTCCCATAAATTTTCAGCATGTTGTGCGGCCTCAGCCAAGCTGGTGTCGTTGGGTTTTAACTGACTATATGCATCACTGATCTTCTTCAGAGTCTGCAGACACTTCTCTACTTCGAGTACAGTGCCACGATTTACGAAAAATTCCTTGTTCCTTTGCAGTATGCTCTCCACGTTGTCGTTCTTCATTAGAGCCTGCTGTTCTGAATTCACTTCTACTTCAATCTCTTTCAAATATTGTAAGAACGTAGTTTCATCCAGACGGAACTCGAGTCTCATCAAATGAAGAGGAGCGAAGGTTAATACCTCCTTCCAACGTTTCTGAAGTGATTCTACAGCTTCTGAAATAGGAACTTGCTGTTCGACAGGCAGAATACTTTTCAAATCCTGTCCAGCATTCACGAAATCTTGAATCCATTTCTCGTTAACATTGCTGAAGAAATTCTTATGATATTCTATTGATCGTCTATTATCGGTATGTTTATCATTCATCATGGTTTCTGCGACTGATAGCCATTCGCAGACTTGTCTCTCGCACTCTTTGAATTTGGTCCAGCATCTGACAGCTTCCTGAAGTCGCTGCTCCAAAGCTTGAGCCGCTTGGGAAACTCTGTTGAATCGTTCATTCAATTCTCTCAACGTTTTTCCACCTTCTGCAGTGGCTACGTCAGCGTGACTGTCCACAGATTTTACTATACTGGTGAATACTTTGTTCTTGGACTCTAGCATAGATTTGTAATATAGGGTTCTCGAGAAGAAAGCTTTATGGCGATCTAATTGTGCCAGAATGTGTTCCCTACCACGTGACAGATCGACATTGGTCAACATTCTCTCTGCTTCGTCCAACCAGGCAGCTATTCCTTCTGACCAGCCTCCAGAGACTCTTGTTGGACCAGAAGTTGATGGTACAAATGCAACTGCATCGGTATCAAAGCTCGTACTTTGACTAGAGCTTCTTTCTCTTTTTTTAAAGTGTTCATCATCTTATCCACTTCATCACGAGACAAATCTTGAATAAGTGTTTGAAACTTCTTGCTGATACTTTTGAATAGATCTTCGATCCCTTCTACCTCGTTGTGGAAGACTTGTAGCTTTTCACCGTAAGCTTTGATTTTCTCAGTTGTGGTTAGATCAGTGGCTGACAAGGCTGTTTCGACGTTTCTCAGCCATTTCTGCAGTGTCTCCACTCCTGCTCTGTAATCTTTTCTATTTCTTATAACATCTCCAGCATGCATATATTGCTTCGCTTCTTGGAACAGAGATTCCCATCTGGAAGTGAGACTCGAATAACGTTGTTTCAGTTGCAAAGCGACTGATTCGTCAGAGGTGGCGATTAAAAATGTCACTGTGTCGGATAATTGTTGGTGTTTATCCTTCCATACGCTTATGTCTTGGAAAAACTCCATTTTATCTTCTTCAGGAAGGTGTAAGGCAGGTTCAGCGCGATTCAACCATGTTACGAACTCATCAGAGATGACATTCCATCGACGCCAATAGGCTACTACTTCCTCGAGCATGCTTTGCACGCAACGAAGATCCATGGATACGCTCTTCCATTTGTCACTTGTCTCTCTCATAAAACGATCGATATTAGCGCTTTCTTCTTGATCTAATGAATAAAAGATTTTTGTATACTAAAAATTTATAGTGTACTTCATATTGATGTATTTATTAAATTCTTTTATACTCTTATTGTAAGCAATCTTAAATAATAAATTCTCTATATTAAATGTCTAGTTTTTTTCATATTAATGAAATTGATAAATTGTTACACTAAACAATTTCTAACAATTTAAATCATCTAAAGTAAATATCACTTACCAACATTACCCTCGCGTTTATAATCCTCGACGATTTGTTGCATGTCTAAATACGCTTTCTGGAATTCCTGGAAAATTCTATTTCGAGACACGAAGTTTCTATACTGCTCTAACATCTGATGTACACTCTCTTCCGTGCCATATTTCACGCTCCATCCCTTTAACTTCGTCTCGACTAGGAACAAGAAAGCAATAAGGCAACATTTGTGCTCCAGGAACTTTAGTCGGATTCTACGTTTGGCAGCGCGATCCGGCAAGCTGTCTAATCGAGCCGCCATCTCATTCAGTTGTTGAGGATGCACTTTCAACGCGACCTCGGAACCCCTTGCCGCTTGAAATCGCTCCGTCATGGACGGAAGGTCGAGGAAGAACTTTTTGTGTTCTTCAAGTTTATTCGATATTATGTTGGCTGTTTCTTCTGTCATTTCTTCTGGGATATTGTTATCGGATAATAGAAGATCTTCTGCACGACACAACCATCTGCCTACAACGCTTAATTCGCCTGGTAGGTAAGAATCTAAGACCCAAAGCCAGCGTAACATCTAGAAAAAGAATCTTTTTATGTATGAATTCTATTTAGCGATTAAATATTGACAATTGAAAATAATGTTCCAAGAACTATTTTTAATAAAATATATTGCTGCATAATATATATATACGTATATTCTGAATATATCGATAAAATGAAAATTTAAATCCATTCTATACTTTATGATAATTATGATACAATAAAGTTTTAGTTTTTTATTATTCGCGTATATATGAATATTATTTACATTTCAATCAGAGGATTACTAATTGACAGTATATATGAAAGCATATATAAAAATGTCAAGTTATTAATTCTAACTTACAAGCATTTCCAAGGTCTTCCACAGATTCTGCACATGTCTCCAAGAATCTCGGGTGATGCTGATCATGCTAGGAGTTTCGACAAGACGTTGCAGCTTATTATACACAATTCTCTGTTGCTCGACTTCTGCTTTTACTGCAGCATATTCCTTCGAAAACAAAAATAGAATTTCAAACAAAAGAAACATTAAAACAAGCGTTTTACGATATTAAAATAATTCTAATATTATTAGAACATACATCATAACCCAATGGGGAACTGCCCATCTGTTCTAAATATTTGAGTCTTTCATAAAGCCAAGCGAGCAGGCCATCATATTCTTGTTGCACAGCTGCGAACGAATCGGAAGCTGCAGATCCTGGTTCCGGATATTTGTGCAAAAATTGGGCAACGTAGGTCATTATCGATTTCTCGTCCGGCTGAGGAACGTCGACATCCTCGGGATCGAGGAGTTTGGCGATACCCAGTTCAGATTCGGCCACGTGGAACGCGGTTGCTAGGCGTGTTCTGTTCGTTGCTTCTCTCATGGCGGCGATGTTCACCAAGTTTGCCTTGATCGCGTCGATGATGGCCAGGAAGGCATTGCCATCGCGCCAACTTTCACCGAAATCTCGTACTTTTATGTCCCTACGTAGAGAAAGATTTGATCCGTTTTGTAAATGAAACTTGTAATTAGACATTATAATATTTTAATATTAATTCTTGTTTCAATGCTTGTTTGTCTTTGGAATAAATTTGAAATAAATTATATCTATTACAGTCTTGCTCTAGAATTACAATAGAATTACAAAAGTATTTTGTATTGTATTTATTATATTCTAATAAATTTTTAATATATACTACATTTGATTATAAAATCAATTTTTTATAATCATATAAAAGTACTAAACGAGAAGAAATCTAATAACTATTTAATTAATTAAAAGTATGTAAGTATACTATAATAAATATAATGCAAATATAACTTTTTTTAACTTCTATATCAACAATTTAATTAAAAAACATACGCCAATCTAAAATTAAAAATCTACATAGAACATTATATCTTTGTAACAAGATATGCAATGATTTTTGGAAAGGAGTGTACTTTCGCGTGGTTGGTATTATTTTTACATGGTTGATACGAAAATACGTTAAACGTAAATATTATAGTTATAAATATAAGCTACATCATATAAATATAATAACGTGTATAGAACACTAACTTTGGCAGAGCATTGGTAACCCACTGAAGCAGAGTTTTTCTTGCTCCCTGCTTCCATTTCTCGCTACTGATGCGTTTTCTCTCGCTGGTCGCCGACCCTTGGGTACTTAAGCTCTCTAAGCTGCTCTGACTACCCCATGTTTGTCCAAGATATTCCAATGCTCTGGTATTCTCCTCGATCTAGAAAAATACCGGATCAGTGGACCGCGGAATATGATATTCGAACAACAATAGGGCGTATATGGGGTGGGGGTAAGGTTGAAAACAAAAAGACTCACAAAAGGAAGGATTAGCGTGCGTACTAGGGTGATGCGTAAGATCATGTAGGTGCGTGCTAATTTAACACTCCTCTGTACATATATATTTTCTCTACTGCTTTACTGTTTTTATTAATATCGTAGATGATAAACTTTTTTTTTTACTCGTTTCTTTTTTTTTTTCTTTTTTAAATAGCTACTCACCTTTTTTCGATCCTTGGATCGTAGCTTGTTTTTATGGAATAAATACGGTTAGCAGAATGCAATGTAACTTTTTTTCTTCTTTCGCTCTTAACGAGGATTAATTTCTTTTTTAACGGAAAGGAAAATTATTAAGATATTAAAAAAAAAAAAGAAAAAACTGTACTTGTATATAGAATGTTTGTGAATTCTTATAAAGAAGAATTTTATGAGGAAATTGAACAACTTTGTTATACGAGCAAATTAATCCCCGCTGCAAACGATCGTCGCAGTGCTGCCGCACGGATATTATAACGCGTTTATGTAATTTGATGTTATAATGTGGCACGAGCGTCTTACTTAAGCAACTACCGCATTCTAATTGTACAATTGTGCTTTTTTATGTAGCTTCGATTTGTATTCGATTTGTACAAACGAAAGAGAGTCTACCTGGAAGTATAAGATGATAGTCCATATCAAGCCTAACACTACGGGCGGTCGTCCATCTACTAAATCGGACGAATTTATGTTCACTAGCTTGATCTGCAATAACAGTCATGAATAATAATTACTAATATATTCTATATTCTGAATTTTTGAAATAGTGAATGTAAACTCCAAAAATTTGAATTTAAGATTTAAGAAAAAATTATTAACCTCTAAAATTTAATGTGAATGAATTATTTCACTTCTCGTGATTCTAAATTTCTATTTTGAGAGAAATCGTTACTCACTTTTTTACTTTGTAAGAACTGAAGCGCAGTATTCGCGTTACTAAGAAAATGCGGTCTCTTCAAGTTACGACCCCTTTCCACCGGCTGCGAACAGAGAAACGCGTTTCATATGTATCTATTCTATTGATCGATAGTTACGATACAGCAGCTGTTATGCCAAACTTACCAACTTCTCGCCGGATAGAACTTCGAGCAATGCGAGTAGGCGGGTGCCATCCTTGAGATCCTCGATTAAATCATCCACTCGAAGCGGTGGACTTCTCTAAAAATTGTTTCAATCATTCATATTACGTTCTCCATTGTTATTTTCGAAGAGAAATCTTAGATTATAAAATATAAAAAAGAAAAATGAAATAATCGTAAAACTATTTACAAAATATTCTATCAGAATTACAGAGGTCTAAACGATAATGGAAGTTTTAAAATAAATATCACGTTTCGCGAGATTTTTTAAAATCTTTTTTAAATTTCACGAGAAATTTGGTAAAGATTTAATGCTTTTGAACGCAATGTCGTGCAGCTTGTAGGCTATGTACATTTCGAGGGAACGAGTCCGGGATTTCTAATTCAAGTTTCCAAGTATCCGGAAGTGCGGAAGTAGGGGAGAGGTATCGAGACTCGCGAGCCAGGCACGAATTATTCCGAACTTCTGATATTCGTGATGAGGAGTAATTTCAATGTTGCCTTATTATATAGAAGGGACGATAAAAAAAGAAGAAGAAAAAAAAGCTTGCGTAACGTTTTCTGTATGAGAGATATTTAAAGATGGATTGATCACGAAGAAAAATGGTTGAAAGGTTCAAAGGTCGTTTACCTGGTTTCAAAATACGTATATTTTTACGAGTTTCACTCGAAGTTTTCTTCTGATTTTTCTTACCTTGGAGAGATAGGAATTGATCCAGTTGACGAAGGTCTTCTTTTGTACGCGTTCTTGTTCGTCTGAAAAGAAAATGAGAAAAATTTTGATGACTTTGTTACAAAATATATATAATCTGTTATTAAGATTTGATATTTTAATGATATGATTTTATGATATTTTAAAATTCGTATAGTGTATAATAATTTTAGTGTGTACCAAATAATTAATATATAATTTGGTATGTAATAATTTTACATCTCATCCCTTATATTGATTTGAAAAGACACTAAAGCTCGTACACCGTAAATTTTGTTTTTAACATTTCTGATATTTCAGTTGTTCAATTTTTCTTAAAAGAATATCAAAATTTCGCAATTCATTTTTTTTATATTGATTTTTTATATATATAGAAATAGAAATGTATAATTGTATATATATGTATAATGTAATTATATAAATAGAAATGTGGATTCTTTTCCAATATTTAATATAAATTCGAATATTAATATATGTGAATATAGAAATAGAATGAATGTAGAAACGAATGCACATTTTTCTATATTTTTTATCTTTAAGAAATACCATGTACGATTGTCACATTAATCTTTGAAACGTGCCTATTTTCAAGATCTATTCTTCGTTTCTTTTACAAAGTTTAACTTCTTTCGAGATAAATGTCAATTTTCATGTAATTACACAAAAGAATTATATTAAATCTAATTGCATAAAAAAATTCAATATTTAATAAAAAAATCTTTTAACTTTAAAATTAAAAATATATAATTAAGATTTTCTATTTTATTAACATCAAAAATACCTTAACAATTAAAAATTAAAAATATTCATTATTTTATCAATTCTATATCACATCTACCTATACCTAATCTCGAAAAATATCGTGATCGTTTTTAAATTTGCAATTCAAAATCAATCTCTCTCGATACTATGTCGTTGAATAATCGATATCAGCCTCTCGAGTACAAGAATAATTATAACACGATGTTTAACGACATTGATAACAGAGATCGCGAGAAAATGTTCGCGATAATGTTCGCTACGATTTAAATAAGTAGTTCACTCTTTATGTCATTACGTCATCGACAATTGCGCTGCCTCGTTATCATTGCTGTGAAGTTTAAATCGAATTAGATATTGTATACTTTACGATTTTGTAAAAAATCCGGAATTTCAATATCAATTTTAAATTGATCACGTATTTCAATAAGGTAATCATGAAAGAGAAAAATTCATGATAATCTCGAATTTCGATCATGTATTACATTCGATCTGACATGCATTAATCGAATCTTTCGTTGAAAATATTTTCGTGGAGAAAAAATTCGCGATTCGAGGTGTGAAACGAACGCATCGGCGGGAAACCAGTTTCCCACGTAAGTAAATTTAGCCAAGCATGTACACACGCGTGGAATATGCTGCTTTTATTGGCAGTAAACGTTCACGTTCTTACGTAGCCCTTTTAAAATATCCTTTCGAATATCCTGAATCATACATACGATATACTTTCATTCATTTCTCGTTGAAAGAACCCATACAGTCGTTCTATTTATCGCCAAATGTTTACATGCGCTCTTTTTTCTTTTAGTAAGCACGCGAATATAGAATGAAGACTCAATGAAAGCATATCATCTGAGCGTATAGAAACATGAATGTGTGTATGGAAATGTATACTTCATGAATTAATTTAATAATTTTCTTATTTCCAAAATTATTTTCGTTTTAATTTAATTTTGAAAAAATCAAAATTAATTAGCGGGATTATTAATTGTAATTTTGGGGTTGATGATTGTAATTTTATTTTCTTTTATTTATTCGTTAATATTAATAATCTTCAAGAATCATGTAATGAAATAAAGCATATTATGCGAATTTGCAATATATTAAAATTAGAATAGATAATATTATATCGTTACCAAATGTTTCCAAATAACAAATTACAGTGAAAAACTATATTTAACCATCTACTTTTTTCATGAGCAAATAAAATTCCAATTACAGAAGATTAATAAATTTCATCAACAGCTGCAATATTCGTTAAAGACAGAAAAATAGAAAGGAAGTATCATTTCCAATTATCATTAACACACCGTCTAAATTAAAATGTCGAAAGCATGTAAAACTTCTTGCGAGTGGCTCGAAACGAGCGAAACTCGCGAATTCCCAGAATTTCTAATTTTATGCACCCTTCTTCTTCCGCACGAAAAACTATCCACCGAGCGGATAATTAGCGAAGTTAGCGCGAAAAACGACGCAATCTTCGTCGTGGATCGTATAATAAATCACGTTTTAATGGATGCATAGCTTACATTTGGCAATGATTTGGACGAAGGGCCGTAACTACCAATAAATGGGCAAGAGGAAAAGTCGCTAAGAACCGAGGTCAATTAAAAGGTGCCCACGTTATATGTGTGCATGTGAAAAACTAGTGTGTATATGTTCGATGCTGTTAGCAAGCATACGTGATCAGCATGCACATCGCGCTCTGTCACTTGAAGCGTCAAAAGTACAGTGCTCTCAACTCCAGACTGTACAATACTATGTTTTGCATGGACAGAGCTACTTATTATAAGCTTTTGTCCCCCTTTCACGTGGTCGTGATACAGTCTGAGAACAAATTTTTAAATGTATCAGATTGTATATACATATATTTTCTTCGCATACACTATAATAATGACATAGCATTACAATGTTGTCGAAAGATTCTCATTCTTGTGTAATAAATTGTTAATGCAATATTTTAAGAAATATATTACTATTTTAATGGATGCATTTTTATATGAAAAATTTATAATCAAAATATAAGATTTAAATTTATCTCTATCTTAGTGCATTTAAAGAAAAATAAAAGTTGGTAATTTTTAAAGTTTGTGATCTTTTTTGATAACAGTGTAAAAAAAAGATTGAAATAACATATTAAATACAGTTCTTATATTTTGTTCCATTGAGTGGGAAAAACAACCCTGAATGAAAAATTCTTTGATCGGGGCTATAGTAATGTAGATCACAATGGACTCTCGTAGGAAGATATTGTTTGCTGATAGGTGATTCTTGTATCTTAACGCGATATGAGTCAGCTGTTCTAAATAGTGCTGAGAGCATTCGCATATAATTCGACACTCGAATGTTTCACGTGTACTCGACTGTATCCCTATTATTATCCAACCATGATGTTATTCTCATTGATGACAAAGATCTAAAACAGATCGATCTTTCGAGTTTCAAATCATTATCATAGACAAAACGAGCTCATGACAAGAACCAAACTCGTGGTCTACAAATTTCAACTCGATCGGTTTATTAATTCATACTGCTCAAACACTGTATATAGCACGATCGATGCACACTTAATGTATTGTGAAATTATACATTTCGTGCAAAGGATAATTTAGTTGTAATTTAGCTGTTGGCCGTGATGGTTAGACGATCGGTGACGAGGGCAAAAAACTCGAAGAAGAAGCGAACCGAATCAGGTGAAAAGAAATGGAAAAAGGGAAGGAAAATAAATGATACGATAGAGTGCGAACAGGGAATTATGTTATTAGTTGTAAATAACGTGGGTTTGACATTTTATTAGCGGCTTAATGGAACGATAATGGAAGTCATGGCCATGGACGTGCGATAAATTTTAAAGAAATACGATTTGAACATTGATATCGTTTAAACATAATGTTTCTTGAAGGAATAAAAAAAAAAGGCTGCATCATAAAGTGATGGCGTTTTAGGACGACGAAAGACGATTAATCTTCTCGTATTTTTCGGCGCAACTTTTATTCTATGCTATGTTGGCTGCATCGTTGATAAAATGCAATCACGTTGAAGTGAAAAATATTGTTGGATACATTGTATCTGTTCAAACAGAACGCGAGATATTATAAGTTATAATAAGGAAATCATGCATATTTTTTACTTTCAAATTATTTAGAAATAATTGGAGCCTCTGACTATAATTTTTTAACTTATTAAATGATACAAATATGATATTTTAAAGATATTAAAGAGAAATTATTGAATTAATTAATTTTAATATTAGAATAATTAATATTTCATTTTTTAGAAATTAAATGATTATTATCGATGAAATTAGAAATGTATAATTATCGTTAGTTGTGAAATTTATAATTAACTTTTGATAACAATAAGATAAAATGAAATTTAAAATAAAATTCTATTTTGTAATTCAAAATATATAACTATTATTATGCGCAATTATTATGTGATTGCTTTAATCTTTATAAAGAAATACTTATAAACAAAATAATTTTCGTTTATTTCAAACAATACAATCATTCTCTAAATGATTCAAGTCTTAAAATATAAGATTTGTAATATATATCACTTCGAAGTAAGATCAACTATAAATCTTTTCAAGTTTCTACTTCTATAATCTCTGAATTCGATCATAACATTTCCAGTTGCACATAACAAATAAATTCCGACCTATCTTAACGCTTTACTTAAACTCTTTAAACGAAACGTTACAATCTGCTCATTAAACTGTTATTTCGATTGTAGTTTGACGTTAGATAACACGTATCAGACATGCTATTAAGTCATTTTACCAAACATAATTAAACAGAAATAATGCACGTGATGATCACATTACTGAAACATGCATAGTGTTACTTATGAAATCTTAGAATAAGAAAAATAATGCAAAGCGTTTTAAACTAGATTCTATTAAAATTACAAATTTAAGAAGTTTATTCGATTTTTTTTTATTAAATCTTACCAAATTATATTTCTTTCAAAATGAAAATTGTAAAAGTGCATTATCTATTTTTCAAATAAAATTCTCATCAATAATTTTTCCATGTTAAAATTATTTTGCTTTTTGATTCGTGCACGAATTCATCACGTTTTCTTTCTTCCATCGTCGAAATCGTAAATCTGACATTTAAAATTATCTCGCATTTCTCCCCTCTCTTTTTTTTTCTCAGAAAGCAGCACACGTATAACATGATCGCGCATATAAATTCGTATTTTTAGCGCTTTCGTTCGGCCTGAACGGTGCGGAGATAGAAAAAGCATAAGGCAGAAGAGGAAGGGGCAACCAGTGAAATGG